CAGCGCGCCGGCCGCGGCGGCCATTGGAGGGTGAACCAACGGCAAAGGAAGACCTTTCTCTCTGTCTCTCTCTCTCACTGTCCACTCTGCCTGTCAAAAAAAAAAAAAGTACAAGGGACTAGAAACATTTTTATGAATTAAGAATTCATCTTCAAATTTTTAATTTTGCTGACTCCTAGAACATTAAACACCAAATCCTGTAACCTAACCTAGATCAAGGAACCTCATCATTGTCTTATCTCACCCACTAATATATTTGACACATTTCCATCAGAGACAGCAGTATTATCAAACAGAGAAGCAGTACTGGAATTTCCGGGGCAAGGAGCTCCCTTTACCTATTGAGAATCTGTGAAATCTTCAATTTTCTTATTCCTGGCCTTTTCTTCCATCTTTAGCAAATTATTGCTATTTTGATTCAGAATCAACAGCACCTCAAGGTTTGAAAAATTTGGCGATGTATACTTAAGAACTCTCATTGCCAAGCAAATTTGTGTAAATGATCCTGGTAACCTAACTCCAGCCTATTATCAAGTCAGTGAAGTTCAAGTATGTGAAAATTAAACCTCAGGTGTGCAAAATTCATAGTTCAAGGAGTAAGTAGATATTTATTATAATTACATAACTTTTTGACAATGTACACTGCCATTCAAGAATAAATTGCACTTATTATAAACTGCTAATTGTGTTTACTAATATGAAGATGCAATTTACATACATGGAAAATGTTTTATATGCTGCAATATGTAAACATTTTTATTGATTTGTGAGCCAAAATTGTATGCTATAAATATATATTCCTAGAATACTATAAACTTATCACAAACCTTATATCTTTTATCTGCTCATTGAAGCTAAGGGTCCATCACATGGGAAACTTGGTTAATTATTTTTATAGATATCACACTTGATTACAATGTTCCTTATTGCATTTGTCACTGCTATATTGAAAACAAAATAAGTTGAGAAATCAAAAGTAGTTTTTTTTTTTTAAAGATTTTATTTATTTATTTGAGAGGTAGAGTTACAGACAGTGAGAGACAAAGAAAGGTCTTCCATCTGTTGGTTTACTTCCCAAATGACCACAATGGCTGGAGCTGTGCCAATCCGAAGCCAGGAGCCATGAGCTTCTTCTGGATCTCCCACGTGGGTGCAAGGGCCCAAGGACTCAGGCCATTATCTACTGCTTTCCTAGGCCACAGCAGAGAGCTAGACTGGAAGAGGAGCAGCCAGGACTAGAACCAGTGCCCATATGGGATGCCAGCACCACAGGCAGAGGATTAACCTACTGCTCCACAGCGCTGGCCCCAAAAGTAGTTTTCTTTAAATTAGCTAGTAAGAACTAAACCATCAAAAGTTATTTTACACTAATGACTGAAGTCACTGTGTATATAAATTACTTTAAAACTGGTTGGAGGAAAAAATAATTGGAGGCCATATGGTAAGTACAAACAAATAACTTTAAGAAATTGCTTCTGGGGTCCAGCGCTGTGGTGTAATGGGTAAAGCTGCCACTTGCCAGCATCCCATATGGATGCTTGAGTCCCAGCTGCTCCAGTTCTGATCTAGCTCTCTACTAATGTGCCTGGGAAAGCAGCAGCAGATGGCCCCAATGCTTGGGCCACTGCACCCATGTGGGAAACCCAGAAGAAGCTCCTGGCTTCAGATAGGCCCCAGCTCCAACTGTTGCGTCATTTGGGAGTGAATCAGCAGATGGAAGACCTCTCTTTCTATCTCTCTCTCTCTCTCTGTAACTCTGCCTTTCAAGTAAAATAAATCAAGCCTTAAAAAAAAAAAAATTGCTTTTGAACTCTGTGGTATTAATAACCATGCTTTCATCCTACCAAATATAAAAGGTAACCACTTTTAATGTGAGTCTCCTTCCAAGACACTAAGCCATGAAAGCTCCAAGGGGGAAAAAAAAAAAAAACTTTCCACCTTTCTTTATCTAGATTCCTGTTTATAATTATACTTTAACATCTACATTCTGGGTGGGTTAATGTGATTTAAGACTATAAAAAAAAGACTTTTAACTTGTCTTCAGAAACAAAAATCTTAGGAAATTAAAACAAACCCAAGATGCACAATACATGTATGTAACCAGAGTTCAAGAAGCAGAGGTATCTAATCTCTAGCAACTACTGTGAATATCTGACCCTTATAATGTCACATTGATATTTGGATTAAAGATGAGAGATGTTGCTTGCTTAACATGGAATATTCACCATTTGGCAACTTTTAGTCCAGAAATATTTAAAAGTTTTCTAAGGGCAGAATATGAAAAATCTACTCATTGCCACCATTAAATTTTAGAGATATCACATCTAGAAATTTATAACATGGCTTGAAGCATGAATTCAGAGCCAAAAAATTCTTAATAAGATGTAACATTCAAAAGGGGAACAAAAGTAAAAAAAAATTAGCTGTCAAAGTGACAGGATGTCAGTGCAACTATTTTCAAAGCTATGAAAGAAAAGATCTAAAGACAACCTAAAATAAAAAAGCAAAATATAATTTATAAAAGCAATGATTAGGAATTTATAACTGGATAAGAAGTAAAATAAGGTAACAAAGTCTAAGATTGCATCCATTTATAGTTTATGTGTTATAATTCAATTAATTATAGCTAAAACATTGATTTCCACTCATCTCTTCAAAGGATAGATAATTTTAGGTATCAATATATTTCTGTAATTATTATCCTGTGACCTAGGGCACAACAGTCAATTAGAGATTGCAAAGCAAAGACAAACTATTATTTTGATATGGATACTGACTCACCTGAGAGATTGAATAAAATATTCATAATTTGATTATCAACATTCTTTGACTTGAAAGCTGCAAGTCATTTAATACTGTATTCTAACAAACATACTTTTTCTTTTAACGCTTAGACTCTAACAATATGCTAGAGGTTTCCTTAGGCATCAGGAAGAGGAGAGTTATATGTAGAGGCCTGGAGTTGTGGTGTAGCAGTGTAGCCGGTAGGTAAAGCCCTTATAGATGTTAGTTGGTGTCCCCACTGCTCCACTTCTGATCAAGCTCCCTGCTGATGGCCTTGGAAAAGCAGTGGAAGATGGCCCAAGTGTTTGGGCCCTTGCACTCACGTGAGTGAGAGACCAGCCTTGGCTATCGGGGCCATCTGGGGAATGATCAAGAAAATGGAAGATCTCCTCTCTCCTCTGCATCTCTAACTGTGACATTCAAATAAATAAATAAATCTTTAAAAAAGAGCTTGTAAGTATTAATAATTTCCATAGACAATTAGGTTTTCTTCTAAGCAATTTTTTAAGCATTCTTAAAATTCCACTGTGCCCTTTAATTGCTTGAAATAATTAACCTTGAACTTAGCACACCAAAAAAAGACTTTTAGCAGCATATAAACTTAAAGATGTTTTGTTAGAAAATTTAGATATTTGGAAGAACTTTAATTTCAGTGCATTTTGCATCCCATATGTGCACCTGTTTGAGTCCTGGCTGCTCTACTGCTGATCCAGCTCTCTGCTAACGTGCCTGGGAAAGCATTGGGAGATGGCCCATGTTCTTGGGTCCCTGCACCCATGTGGGAGACCAGGATGAAGCTCCTGGCTCCTAGCCTTGGCCTGGCCCAGTCCTGGCTGTGGCAGCCATTTGGGGCATGAATCAGCAGATGGAAGGTCTGTCTTTCCCCCCCCCTCTGCCTTTCAAATAAATAAAATCTTTTTTTTTTTTTTAACAAGAAGGCATTCATTGTTGCAGACTATCAAGTAGCAACTATTTTTTAAATAAAACAGAAAATTCTAATGCAATGTTTATAGGCTTATCAATATCTTTCAGATATATGAAAACAGAAAGATGGTTTTATCTATTTTAGGGTAAACTGAAGTCTCCTAATTTGATTAACTGTATTAAAATGTTGATTGTCTTCAAATACAGATCATTTTTCAAAGCAGTTAAAGATTTGTTAATTTTAATAAAAATCCACTACAGAGACTTCTATCTAGGAAATAATCATAAATGTACTGAAAACTGAACCAAAAGAAATCTTTACTTCTCTCTTTTAGTTCTTAGTAAATATCACATTACCCTTTTAAAACTTGGATTATTTACTATCCCAAAATAGCTAAACAATCCTTTGGCTTGCTGTTTCTAGTTTTCTTAAAAACTTGAGAATTCTGTGTAGTGCTAAGGAATGAAACATCACAGGAACTGGTGGTGTGGTTCCATGGGTTAAGCTACGCTTGCAACACCAATGTTTCATACCAGAGTGCCTGTCTGAGTCTCAGCTACTCTGCTTCTGATCCAGCTTCCTGCTAATGCACTTGGGAAGATAGCAGAGGACAGCCTAAGTATCTGGCTCCTGCCACCATGTGAGAGACCAGGATGGAATCCCTGGACTCCTAGCTTTGGTCTGGCCCAGACCTGGCTGTTACAGGCATTTGGAGAGTGAACCAGAAGATGAGAGATCCCTCTCTCTTTGTTTATCCCTCTCCCTTTGTCACTCTGCCTTTCAAATAAATAAATCTTTTTTAAAACCCCCCACAAACTTTGTTATTTAACAATCTTCAGATTATACTAATCTATATATTCTAATCTTTCCAGTTACATCCTACATACTTAATTCTTATTTGCTTACTTACTACAGGAATATATTATTGTACTGGACAACTTTTAAAATAACTTCTAAATAGTAGTCTTAGTTTAAAAAAATCTTTAAAGTATTTTGTCTGGCATTGCACATCTCCCTGCATATTAAAATTGGACTGTCCGCATAAAGCTGTATTAAGGAGAACATTCTCCTTAATGAATTCAATGAACAACTACATTCATTATAAGGTTAAATGGGTTTTGATAATATTTAAGGGGAATAAATTGGTAGGAAATACATACTTATTATCTTTGGATGTATTTAACTTATTAAATGAATTGTTACATAAATGCAAAATTGGTGTTATATATCTGACTAAAACCACAAAACTACATAAAGTGACTTAACAGCAGAAAGAGAAAATGATACACAATTCAGATGCCCACAATTTATTTTCATGAAATTTCTGAGGCAGAGCTCCTAATCAAGTGGGAAGAGGTTTTAACTCAAGAAAGCCTATGAAGTCTCTTATTGGACTGTTATATATTCCTTTTCATAGGCATTCTTTTCCTGGAATGAACATATATACTCAACATATAGATGAAAAGTAACTGACAAACTTTTTTTAAAAAATGTATCTCATCATTTACTAGATATAATTATTTCATTTAAAGAGTACCAAGAGAAGGCTAACTTAAAGACTAGGAGACACTTAACAATGAGTCTATATGATTTTTTTTAATGCAAAAAAGGAATACTTTACCCCAAAAGAGGCTGAATAAAAATCCCTGCAAAATACACTGCTCCATACTCTCCTTTCAGTGCAGACTACATTGTAGAAACAAAATCTCTCTTAGAGAACTAGTTGTGAGAAATAGTGACTATCCCTAAAGATATTACACTCTTTATTTTGTACTACTTAAGAAGTCAATATTCCTAAGATTTAGCTTTGGGGGAAAAAAATGAGCCTTTCAAATTTTAACCTAGGTCAGTGTAGTTGACTGGCATTAAGAACAGAAGGGCTCAAGCATTTATCTATGCTTCTTTTTCTTGTATGTTGAAAAGTCCTTTCAGTCTGTTCCAAACTGTAATAGTTTCAAGCCTCTGGGCAGATGTGAAGAAGCCTGGTGATGAAGCGCAGATTAGGTTCTTCCCTTTACCCATTTAACTTATATTAAGAAGCACCCAAACTGGAGCCAAATTTTCAAAAGATAATGAAACAGCAGGAACTATAATTTAATCACACCATATTACACTATGTAACATTCTATATTTTGCCTGTTGATATGTAATATAGTTAAGCTTATTACAAGCATTATTTCCTAAGACTATGGTATAACTGTTCCTTTTCAAGTATCACCGTTTATTTCATAGTGTTTATCTAAATTGTAACATTAAGTAAATCAATTATATATATATATGTATATATATATAATGCATACATTGTGCCATTTCTTCCTACTCATGTTAAGGTATCAAAATCAATTAAGAAATAGTACATGTATTAAAACTGAAACAAGGCTATCAGTGTTGCAGATATATGACTGAGTAGGTCAACAGCGTTTTCCCTTAAAAAGAAGGTAATTTCATCAGAAAGGCTCCTATAGTATTAGATTAGCATTATTTTAGCAGCAGCTGGTCTTTAGGACAAACCAAAAGTTTCATGCAACAAAAACACATTACTCTGAAAGCTATTAGTCCACATTACCAATAAAAGAAGCAAACTGCTGGTGTCACCTTCACATAAAAGTGTTCATTTTTCTCTTTCAATCTGTGATTTAGTTCATTTATGTGATGACAACAGAGCTTTAGAGTTCTCATGGTACATCAACGAGGTGGACTTATTTGTTCAGGAACCTCTTATTTAATATTTAAATTAAAACAATACAATAACTAGAAAAAAGTCAGTGCCTCAGTGGCTTTTAACCACATCAATTTAAATTTCTTTCAAAATAATGATGCATCTAAATCCATACTTCTGTAACAATAGTGCAATATGGTAGCCTTTCCTAAATAAAGGAACTGAGGTTTATCCAAGTAGAGGCTTTAAATAAAGGAGATTGTTCCAATTACATATCTTGTAAAATATATCAGGAAATCTTAAATTGATTTATAAATCTAAATGTGGCTAAAGCTTCATGTAAGCCGGAATGGAAATGAACAGAGGTGCACTCAGTATAAAACACTTTTCAAAACTACTCCAAGAAACAAATGACAAAAAGTGGTTAAGAACAACTGAACAACTGTTGTGTGTACCAGATGTAAAAGAAGAATGGACCCTGGGGTTACTTGCACTATTTGAATTATATGAAGGTAAATTAACACTTAGTCCACTTCCATCTCTGCAGAAGACTTAGTATGCTGTGAGCTATCTTTTGTTGTATCTGGTTTAGTTTCAGTTCCACTCTGTCCATCCATTGGTCCATTGTGTTCACTATTAGCTTTTGCTTTGTCCTCAGCAACTTCTACTTTTGGTTTGGGCTTGTAAATGATGGGGTTACAGAAATTATCCAGTTCCTAAAGACAAAAAGAAATTGATTATATTACAATACTACAGAACAATTACCATTAACTTTCTAAATTACACATTAACATTCTAAATTTCCATATAATTTCACATTCCTGAAATCATTAGTTCAGCTAGATAACCAACAATGTCTTCCATTCTCATGAGGATTTACCTTCTGGGCTGGTACATTTCTACGGCAATCAGAAACTACTGAAATCTTTAAATTTTTTTTTTTTTTTTTAATTTGAGAGGAACAGGGTCAGAGAGCGACCGAGCACACTCCCATCCACTGGTTTACTCCCCAAATGCTTTCAATGGCTGGTGTTGGAGCCAGGAGCCAGGAGCCAGAATTCAACCCAGGTCTCCTATGTAGATGGTAAGGACCTAATCACTTGAGCCATAACCTGTTGCCCCTCCCAGGTTGTGCATTAGTAGGAAATTGGAATCAGGAGCCTGAGTTGGGAACCAAATCCATGTATTCTTATGTGAGATGTGGGCATCTTAACACTAGGCAAAATGCATACCCCTGTTGAATCTTTAATTAAAGTTTTTACAGCTAACCTTTCTAAAATTTGTTTCCTCATAATTTAAACACAGTTTACTTTGCCAGCAATAACTATAAATTCTTCCGTTAAATTATGCCTACTGCTTTGTTATGAGAATTACTTCAAATAACACCTATCCCATAAATTGAAATTTCTCTAGATTATTAAAGGAACAGTTTTAATAAATGTAGTCATATAAACACACATATTAGCAAAGTAGCCTTTTCTGTTAAAGAGAAAAAAGGCAATGAATATAAAATATATCTTAATAATTTAAATGAAAATAATATATTTTCAATTTCCTTACATTTTACACAGAAATAAAAGACCATTACATAAAACTAACCAGACTTATAAACCTTTTAAGATCAGTGCCACAGAGATTGGGGTAATTATGGAAAGACAGGGAATAATACCCTCATGTGGAAGGATGTTTTCCTGGCAAACTGCTCTTGTCACACCCTGCATCTTATCTCATTAGTAGTAAATTATGTATCATAGCTTCTTGACAAAACTTTTTCAAAATTAAAGTATTCATTGCTTAACTAATTATAAAAATAATATGTGCTTTTTTTTAAAAAAAAACCAATACCCCAAAACATACTAAGATTAAAAAAATCACTCTATCTCCTATAGATTTTTTGATGAACACTCTTCTAAATGTATATTTGTACATACCCATAATAAACAAACATATTAACCTATGAACACTCAAATTTATACAAGTGAGATAATTTTATTTGGGTTCTGTAATGTTTCCTTTCTCATTTCACAGTATGTTAACCATATCTTTATATCTGAGTCTATCTATTGCTTCACACCTAAAATATCATAATAATCGTACACTATTGTATGGATGCATCAGTTTACTTAACTAGCTTCCTAGTGATAAGTATTTAGGTTATTTCCAACTTTTCTTTTATTTTTATTTTTTGCTATTACAAGCAAGGGCATGTATCTGCATGCACTTCTACAAGGGGTTAATTTAGAATGAATTTCTAGAACTCTGATTTCTGAGTAAAATGGTATACTCACTTTAAACTTCTGTATATATTCTGACATAATGTCCCAGGAAAGTTGCAACAAATTTAGCCAAATCATTGAGGGCAGCATCCATTTTTAAACCCTTGCCAACTAAGGCAAGGATTATAAATGTAAACACAACCAAATCAGATGGGTGAAAAAAAAAATCTGGATTTAATTTTTTTAAGCAGTGTCCTCAACCATTTAATTTATTGAAAGGAGATGCTGCTATGGTTATTGATTTAGCAGCAACTGTTCTTTTGTTTACAGAGAGTTCTGGTCATTATTTGTTGTTTTGCTCTGTATTGGAAACATAAATAAAGTTTTCTACATTATTTTCAGTCGGGGTTGTGGTATAATGAATGACAGCAGTAATATGCATAGTGTCCTTATGGAATCTGTCTCCAGGGGGAAATGAACTTTTGGTTCTTTCCAATATCCGTGATTACTTTAAGGGTGTACATAGGAGCCAATGGAGACTCAAGAAGGATGTAAATAAGCAAATACATAGACCAAGTGCTTCTTAGGTTCACAAAAGTAATCCTTTACCACTGAACTCCATTGTCATGGGGGGCTCAATGAAGGCTAACCAATCTGATGCATGCATCAGCAGTAATTCCATAGAATGGCACTTGAAAAATAGCCAGTGCCAAACCCATCAGGTTCCCAATAAGACAGACCAAACTCTGAAGAAATTTCTGGCTTGAACTTTTTCTAGCATCTTGAAAGTGCTTGAGAGCCATAAATAAGCCATATGGATTGCCAGGCCATCATACACACCATCATCATGAGAAAGATGGAAATAGTATTGCCTGCCATGTACATGATGAAGAGGTTCATGGGAATCTGTTTTAGGGGACCCAAGGCAATGTCCCAGCAGCGCTTCTCCACCAGGATCTGGTCTGTCTCTTGCACACTAGTATTAGGCAGTTGCTTGTCCAAGTAACCAACTGGGTACAATGAGTCTCCCTGGGCACTATTCCAGTCACTTTGGCCCCTGCAACCTTCTCCAGGCCCTCTCAACTCAGTGGCCCACTGGAAGCATAGGCCTTGGTTCACGACTAGGCCTCCTTGGGCCGTCATGACAATGACCACTTACTAAAGCCGGGAAGCTTCTCAACCCTAATCATACCCCTGCCACAGATCCACTGGCATCCCTAACTTCTGGGTCTTGCTCTCCCTCTGCATTTCTTACATTAGTGATGAGGATGAGTATCTTTTCATATATTTATTAGATACCTACTTCTTCTTTTGTCAATTGCTTATCCAATGCCTTTATTTGTTTTTTATTTGGATACCAATCTTTATTATAATAAATTTTTGTCCCCATGTATTTCATGTGTCTTCTACAACTTTTAACATTTTCATTATCATTTTTTTAAACTAGAAAGTTTGTCTCACAAATAAGACTTTACCGTGAAAGTTCACATATTTCAAATGACATCAAGGACAAATCTATACAGCAAAATTTTACAGTGAACATTTTAGAGGTTTCATCCAACCTGTAAGTCTAAATTATTTAACAGTCAGAAGTCATCACACTGTTTTATTTCATTTTGTATTACCCTTGAAATTTAAAAACCAGTCTTGTGTGACACATTAAATGAAGGAACAGAAATATCTCACACCAAGAATATATATTTTAAAATTTTGTAGCCAAACTAAAGATTACCCTCAAGCTTGTTTTTTTGTAAGTTCTCCTGCATGTTATTTCTCTAAGTATTACTCCTACTGAACAAGCTTAGTCCCTGGACCCAATAAAAAAGGAACTGTACTTTACCTTTGATTTTGCAACTATTTCTGAAACTTTTACCACAGGATCTTGGGTGAGACTTAGTTTGTTCTGTGCATTCATCTTACTGTTCAGCCAACTCATGGCATCACTGATATATTTTTCAACTTTTTCCATTTCAGCAGGATCCAAATGATCATATCTTTCATCCTATTAAAAACAAGCTTAATTTAATGTAACTTATATATCAGTAAGCACCAGTTAATTCATTATTTCTGCTTAAAAGATTTATACTCTTACACTTCACATATACACTTACGTGTACTTCACAAATACCCATGTGAAGAAATCATACAGGAATATAACATAACTGAAGAAACTGGGAGAAAAGGTAACATTTCTGGGCTTAAAAAGAAAAGGTTTTCGGAATTTAGGTTTGCAAAAACAATGATCAGTAGATAATATGCAAGAGGAGAGCACTCAGCCAAGAAAGAAGCTGCAATATAATGGAATTTGTTAGAAAATAAGGAGAAACTAGGGGAGCTAGAATACAGCAAGCTAGATAGAAAATTCTAAATATACAGCAGATAATGCAAGTTTTCTTGTTAAGAAGGAGAATGACATAATAAAATTCTATTCAAAACAGAGATGTCAATGGCTACATATAAAACACAACCTAAGAAGTCACAGAACCAGAAATAAATGGCATTAACAGAGGATCTCCTGACAGGCTATAGATCAGACAAGGAAAATAAAGGGAAAGAAAATGAAAGAACACCCCAGAGTCAAGGAAACAGGAAGACAGTGATGCCATTTTTAAAGCCATAAATCTTCCTCAGATATATCTGCTTTCTGCTTGTATGCTTACAAATTATGCATCCATCATCTTTGACTTAATTTCTAGGCCACCATATTGTCTTGAATTTCCTCCTATATCATGAATCACATACCTTTTAAAAATTTTTATATAAGTTATACAAGTTTCAAGTATTTCACGTATATTTAGGAACATTGTGATACTTCAAACCCCACCCTCCCTCCTGCCCACACTACAGCTCTTCTTCCTCCTCCCTTTCCCATTCCCACTCTTAATTTTTACAAAGATCTATTTTCAGTTTACTTATTGATTGCACAGTTAACCCTACACTAAGTAAAATAGTTCAACAAACAATATGAAGAAAAAAAAAACACTGTTCCTCAACGGAAGAGACAAGGGCTGTAAACAATCACTAAATCTAAAAAAATGTCCATTTCACTGTAATACATTACATTTTAGGTATTCTATTAGTTATCTAGATCAGATAAAACATATGACATACATCATTTGGGGACTGGCTGATATCACTAAGTATAATGGTTTCTAGTTCCATCCATCTTGTTGCAAAAGACAGGATTTCATTTTTTCTTTGTTACTGAGTAGTACTCCATAGCGTGTATATATAATAATTTCTTTATCTAAGCAACAGTTGATGGACATCTTGTTTGATTCCATATCTTAGCTATTGTGAATTGTGCTGCAATGATCATGGGAATATAGATGACTATTTCAAATGCTGACTTCTTTTGATTTGAGTAAATTCCCAGGAGTGGGATGGCTGGATCATATGGTATGTCTACATTCAAATTTCTGAGGTATATGCATACTGTCTTCCACTATGGCTACACCAGTTTACATTCCCACCAACAGTGGATTAGGGTATCTTTTTCCCCACATCCTCACCAGCATTTGTTATTTGTTGATTTCTGTATTAGAGCCATTCTATCTAGAGTGAGGTAAAATCTCACTGTGGTTTTGATTTGCATTTCCCTGATGGCTAGTGATCCTTAGCATTTTTTCAAGTGTCCTTTGGCCATTTGAATTTCCTCTTTTGAAAAACACCTGTTCAAGTCTTTTGCCCAATTCTAACTGGATTTTTGTTTTCTTGTTCTTGACTTTGAGTTCTTTATGGATTCCGTTTGTTAACCCTTTATCAGCTGCATAGCTTGCAAATATTTTTTCCCATTCTGTCAGTTGCCCCTTTACTTTGCTGAGTGTTTCTTTTACAGTGCAGAAGTTTCTCAGGTTGATGTAATATCATCTGTCAATTTTGGCTTTGATTGCCTGTGCTTCTGGGGTCTTTTCTAATAAATCTTTTCCAATAAATCCAATAATTTTATTTGGATTCTGTAATGTTTCCTTTTTCATTTCACAGTATGTTAACACATCTTTATATCTGAATCTATCTACTGCTGCATACTTAAAATAGTATAATAATTGTACACTATTGTATGGATGCATCAATTTATTTACCTAGCTTCCTAGTGATAAGTATTTAGGTTTTTTTTTTTTTTTTTTTTTTTTTGCTACTATAAGCAAGGGCATGTATCTGCATGCACTTCTGCAATGGTTACTTTAGGATGAATTTCTAGAACTGTGATTTATTGGAAAAGACCCCAGAAGCTATGATATGTAAGTTATGACACCCATGCCTAAATGTTTCTGGTACTAGTTTCTCCTATCCACTGATAGAGTTTTAATATTAATGATAAAAACCAGGGGGTTAAAATGAATATTTACTTAAGAGTCGGGATCCAGGAAGCCTGTCCTGCAGGCCAAATCCAATCATAAGGTTTTGTGGAAGATAAACATGCCCATTTGTTTACATACTATCTGTATTTGATGTTGCACTACACAGGCAGTGATGAATAGTTCTACAGACATAGTATGGACTGAAAAGCCTACAATATTTATTTTTGTTAAAGGAAAAATATGCTAATTTCTGGTTTAAAGGAGGAAAATAATAAACTTAGTTTTGCAAAATCACACTGTTACATCCAAATGGAGATATCATTTACATTAACTATGTACTTGAGCCTTAAAGGAAAGGTTAAGGTAATACAGATATGGATATATATACACACAAAAGGAGAAAGGATATAGGGAATTAGAGATGACTAATGAATTGCAAGGCAAAGAACAACTGAAAGAAAGAAAAAAGAAGTTAGGAACAAAATAAATCTAAAGTCCAGTCTCAAAGAGGCCTGAAATTAAAAAAAAAAAAAAAAAAAAAAAAAAAAAAAAAGACCCAAGATGACATTTTTCTCTGTATAAAGAGCATGAAAATGAACTCTCTAAGAAGAAAAAACTGGAAGTGGTCATTGAATTAGCTTATAATATGGTTTCAGGGAATTCTAAAAGATTAAATACACTTACCTTCACTGTATCTCATTTTATCTGACTAATTCCTCAGACACCCACAACTGGGGCTGATCTGAGCAAAGCTGGAAGACGGGAACCCCATCCAGCTCTCTCACTTGGGTAGCAGGGACCCCACTATCTGAGCCATCATCTGCTGCCTCCCAGGGTCTGCGTTAGCAGAAAGCTGGCATCAGTACACAAAGCTGGGTATCAAAACCCAGGCACTCAAAAACGGGACACAGCTTGTCTTAACTGCTAGGCCAAATGCCTGCCTCTACCTTAACTACTTTAAATGTATCATATTCCTTTACTAATAATTCTCCAATTAAAAAAACTTAAAGTTTTGAGTTCTGTACACGAAATCTCTGGAATCTGGCAGCAAAAACTGCAATAGCTTGATAGTTGAGAACTTTTAAGATAATTTCTCACCCTTTCCATGGACCACACACACGCCCCGTCATCACAGTTGGTTCTTTAATTCAGTACCTTGTTTCTGTACGCTTCTATCACTTTCATGACGAGCTGAATCTTTTTTCCCAAGTCATTTAAAGCTTTCGGTCTCTCTTCATGTTCCATGTACCTCATTTGAATAGGTTGGCCATATTTCTGTTAACCCAAGAAATGTTTTAAAAAGAAAAAAATGTTACTGAGTTTTAATAGAAAACAAATTTTATTGGTTCCTTGGCAATAAATAGGAGAAAAGATGGGCAGATCAACATTATGTCCCATTTATTTCCCTACAAGGAAGTGGCTATTTTCTTACACAATACTAAATAGGGATGCCTAACTCAAGTCTAACCTTTGTTTCTCATTCTTTACAATTACTTCCTGATTCTTCCCAAATACAAAGTCCCAATGAAAACTTTAATTTTTTCAAAGCTGGTGTTAAAACTTTACAAAACTATTAAAATGTAGTTACTGGAAAATCCTGATAGTTACTATTATTTTTATGATCATTAGATTAAAATGTGTACTGCATTACAAGTATATCTTTTTTCTCCTGCAAGTGCTTAGATAGGGGAGCTTCTAAGTGTTATAATGGGCAGCCTCTTACTTTGGGAAGAGAAACACATTAGGATGAAACAACTGTTTTTATTTTAAATTCTTTTATATACTGAGATAAAAATCTATTTTAGAATAATTTTCAATTTGCAAAAAAGTTAAACTAACAGAACAAGACACTTCTCACTACTTTTCTCTAATGTTAACATCTCATGGAATGATTTGTCTTAATTGAGAAATCAACACTGGTACATCGTTATTAACTGAACCCAAGCCTTTATTCACATTTTATCTTTTTAGAAAATACTTATTTCAAAGGCAGAGGGAGAGATAAAGATACCTATCCACTGGTTCACTCCCTAAATGGCTGCAACAGCCGTATCTGAGCCAAGCAGAAGCCAGGAGCCAGGAACTCCAGCCTGGTGTCCCACATGAGTGCAGGGCCCAAGTAATTTGATCATTTTCTGGTGCTTTCCCAGGCATGAAGTTGGATCAGAAGCAAAACAGCTGGGACTCAAACTGGCACTCTGATATGGGATGCTGAAGTTACAGGTGGCAGCTTAACCTGCACAGCCACAACACTGCCTCTTTGGTATTATCTTTGCTCCAGGATATGATTTTGCATTTGGTATATCTGCATCATATTTTGTATTCTTTAAACATTTTTGAAAGGGAAGCAAGTATTACATTTTTAAAATTCATCTCAAAACAAAAGCCTGTCAAAGTGTCTATTACATTCATTTCTATCCTAGGCTTCTTATCTATTTGAGGCGGAAGAATCCATGTTAGGAGTTGCTGAGAGTTTCAGTTATTGGCTTCCGCTGCTTGGCTGTTCCTAAGGTTTAAAGTATGCACATTTCTCTTACAGAGATGGGATTAAAAACCATACTCACTTAAGTTTATTAACTCTTTTGCACCGCTTACAATACTATTGCTAGGCCTAAAGGGCTGCCTTCTCCCATGTTCTAAAAATTATTATCATTCAGCATCTCTGTAATCTCTTATTAACTTAAAGAATGGTTCAGGGAACTGCAGCGTATCACTTGAAAGCGTGTTAACATGAAGAAGCATGGGTCCATCTCATCACCTGGAGAATCAGCATCTGCACTGCAGTAACAACCCAGGTAATTCATATGCACATTTACAGCACTGCTTGACTGAGATATAGTTTAATTCTTCTAAAATAAACTTCTAATCTCTTAAAGAATTTTTACTTGCTTTCATTTTACTTAAAAGGCAGACAGAGAGATCTTCCATCTGCTAGTTCACTCCCTAAATGCCTGCAACAGCTAGGGGTTGGCCAGGTGGAATCCAGGAGCCAGGAATTCAATAAACCAGGTCTACCCACATGGGTGGCAGGGACCCACCCACTGCAGTCATCATCTGCTGCCCTCCCTGCGTGTATATTAGTAAGCAGCCTGACTGGAAGCGGAGCTGGGACTTAAAACCAGTCACTCTTGATACTAGATTAGGTCATCCTACCCCACTGCTCCAAATATATTCCTTCCCCCAAAACTAAAACAAACAAAAAGACCCTTTCTAATCTCTTATTTTCTTCAGGGTGATGTGAAGGTTGGTTGGCAAGCATAGAGAAAGGAGCCAACAAGGGTTCTTCCCTTAGAATTTTACCATTGACCTAGAAAAAGGGGACCTGGCTCTATTTCTTTGTGAAAGGACACTGAAGAGCAGGGTTGCTACTTTTGCAGTCCTTGGCTTGTCAGGTGTACTAATCAGTTGCATAGTGTAATACAACAGGCCAATGTGGTATTATTTCCCAAAGTCAGAGCAGTGAAGGATGAAAGAAACAGAGGAAGGGTGACTCCTCTAATGGACATGGAGGGATTAAGTTTATTAACTCATCACTTTTTAAAGATAACACAGTAATATATAGCTTATGTAAAAGTAACACTTTGGTCATGTGTTAGAAATTTACATATTGAGTATTCATGATATGCATGATTATGCATTTTTTATTTTTTTTTATTTTTATTTTTATTTTTTTTTATTTTTGACAGGCAGAGTGGACAGTAAGAGAGAGAGACAGAGAGAGAAAGGTCTTCCTTTGCCGTTGGTTCACCCTCCAATGGCCGCCGCTGCAGCCGGCGCACCGCGCTGATCCGATGGCAGGAGCCAGGATCCAGGTGCTTTTCCTGGTCTCCCATGGGGTGCAGGGCCCAAGCACCTGGGCCATCCTCCACTGCACTCCCTGGCCATAGCAGAGAGCTGGCCTGGAAGAGGGGCAACTGGGACAGAATCCGGCGCCCCAACCGGGACTAGAACCCGGTGTGCCGGCGCCGCAAGGTGGAGGATTAGCCTATTGAGCCACGGCGCCGGCCCTATGCATTTTTTTTTTTTTGACAGGCAGAGTGGACTTTGAGAGAGAGAGAGAGAGAGAGAGAGAAAGGTCTTCCTTTTGCCGTTGGTTCACCCTCCAATGGCCGCCACGGCCAGCGCACTGCAGCCGGCACATCGCGCTGATCCGAAGCCAGGAGCCAGGTGCTTCTCCTGGTCTCCCATGCGGGTGCAGGGCCCAAGCACTTGGGCCATTCTCCACTGCACTCCCGGGCCATAGCAGAGAGCTGGCCTGGAAGAGGGGCAACCGGGACAGAATCCGGCGCCCCGACTGGGACTAGAACCTGGTGTGCCAGCGCCCCAAGGCAGAGGATTAGCCTAGTGAGCCTCGGCGCCGGCCATGATTGTGCATTTTTTAAAAAGATTTATTGTATTTGAAAATCAGAGTTACACAGAGAGAGGAGAGGCAGAGAGAGAGAGAGGGGCCCTCCATCCAAAGGTTCACACCCCAAATGGCTGTAACAGCCTGAGCTGCACCGATCCAAGCCAGGAGCTAGGAGCTTCTTCCAGGTCTCCCACGCTGGTGCACAGGCCCAAGGACTTTGGCCATCTTCCACTGATTTCCCAGGCCACAGCAGAGAGCTGGATCAGAAGTGGAGCAGAAGGGCCTCGAACCAGAACCCATATGGGATGCTGGCACTTCAGGCCAGGGCGTTAACCCACTGTGCCACAGCACTGGCCCCAATGATTATGCATTATTAGATTTCAACTATCAAGTAGCATTGCTTAGTTCTCAAAAATGCCTTTAAACTTAGAACACTATTCTTACACATCTTTCATATAATCATTTTTCAAATATTTATTAAAAACATACAAACCAAGCACTCCTACAACTGGGTATATAGCCACTAAAAATGAAATCATTATGTTTAAATTTTATCTGTATTCATATTTCACGATAGTTTATGGCCAACAGCCAAGAGATGTCCACTAAGGATGAATAGATATACACAATGTGGTATGTATACACAATGGAATACTATTAGGCCTTTAAAATAAGAAGGAAATATTGGGGCCACCATTGTGACCCAGTGGATTAAACCACTGCTTGCAACACTGGCTTCCCATATGAGTGCCAGTTAGAGTCCTGGCTGCTCCACTTCTGATCTAACTCTGCTATAAAATGCACCTGGGAAGGCAGTGGAAGATGGCTCAAGTCGTTGGGCCCCTGTACCCACATGAGAGATTGGGAAGAAGCTCCTGGCTCCTAGCTTTGGCCTAGCCCAACCAGGGCCATTGTGGGTATTTGGGGATTGAACCAGCAGATGGAAAATCAACCTCTCTCTCTCTCTCACTCTCTCTCTGTATCTCTGCCTTTCAAACTAAATAATAAATCTTTAAAAAAAAAAAAAAAAAAAAAAAAAGGAGCGGCTGGTGCTGTGGCCTAGCAAGTAAAGCCACCGCCTGCAGTGCCAGCATCCCCTGTGGGCATCGGTTCGAGTCCCAGCTGCTCCACTTCCAATCCGGCTCTCTGCTGTGGCCTGGGAAAGCAGTAGAAGATAGCCCAAGCCCTTGGGCCCCTGCATCTGCGTGGGAAGACCCAGAGGAAGTTCCTGGTTCCTGGCTTCGGATCGGTGCAGCTCTGGCCATTGTGGCCAACTGGGGGGTGAACCAGCAGATGGAAGACCTCTCTCTCTGCCTCTCTTCTCTCTGTGTAACTCTGACTTTCAAGTAAAATAAATAAATCTTTTTTTTTTTTTTTTAAAGGAGTAGAGAGTGGAATGGTGAGGGAGGGATGGGGAAAATGTTAGTCAAGGACACAAAATTTCAGATAGACAAGAGAAGTTATGTCCAAGAGGTCTACTGGTAGGGCTGGTGTTGTGGTGCAGGAGGTTAGGCTACCGCTTTTGATGCTGGCATCCCATATCAAAGTGCTAGTTAGAGTACTGGCTATTCCTCCTCCAATCCAGCTCTCTGTTGATGTGCCTGGGAAAGCAGCAGAGGATGGCTCAAGTCCTTGGGTCCCTGCCATCCATGTGGAAGACCTGGATAAAGTTCCTGGCTCCTGGCTTCAGCCTAGTCCAACCCTGGCCATTGCAGCCATTTGGGGAATAAACCAGAATATGGAAGATCTCTTTCTCTTTCTCTTTGCCACTCTGCCTTTTCAAATAAATAAATCTTAAAAAACTAAGGAATCTATTGTAATAATGGTGACTACAGGTAGCAACACTATTTTGTAAATCTGAAAATTGCCGAGATTTAGTTTAACAAAAAAAGATAATGCACATTTAAAGAGTTTGATTTAGCCATTCCATAATGTATTTACATATATTTATTAAAATACCATGTCATATACCACAAGCATATACAACTGGTACTTATTAATTAAAATAAATACTGTGCTTTCACACATAATTTTTTAGGAAGTACTAAAAAGAACTTTAAAAAATTTACCTTCAGTTCCTGAAGCTTATCCACATATACTTGTTTAGGTTGGTCCTCTCCTTCTTCATAAAGCCAATTTTCTGTGTCTTCCAATATTGCAGATAGTTTATTCATGTCCTAGTTATACATTTAAGAGGTACTAATTAAAAATGCTTTCCTTAGAAATAAGAGTAATTATGTAAGGAAAGAATGGTTTTAAAGTATAATGGATTAAATTTCATTTTTTTTGACTTTGTATTCAAAAGCATATTTTTCATCACAGTCTACAATTTGGAAAAATAACTAAGAATAATCTCCATATGGGCTGAAGAAGACTGACAACGATAATTGGTACACTTATTTATGAAATTCTAGCATTTTCAATTAAACACTGAAATATTTCTAATAAAGATTATTAAAGTTAGACTTACTTCTGGAGTGATGAATTTTTCATAGACAGTGCCCAGCTTGTCTCTAAAATCATATACATATTCTTCAACAGCATTCTTAGCATCATTTCTTTCTTTCTCTAATTTATCTTGCATTATCATCTTCCCCTGTTCAAAAAGTTTCAGATGAGTTGCCATATGAATATTCATTAGGGAAATACAAATCAAAACCACAATGAGATACCATTTCACATCCACTAGGATAATTGTAACATAAAAAAAAGGAAAATAAATGTTCATCAGTACGTGGAGAAATTGAAGACCTTAATATATTGCTGATGGAAATGTAAAATGTTGCAGCCACTATGAAAACCGGTTCCTCAAAAAGCTAAACACAGAATTACAATTTCACTTGAGATTCATTAATTCCACTCCTGTCATACACTCAAAGGACATGAAAGCGGAGACTCAGATTTGTATGCCATTGTTCACTACACTATTATTCACAATAACCAAAAAGAAACAACCCAAGTGTCTATTAACAGATAAATTATTTTCCCACTGTGGAATTTTACTTAGCCTTAAAGTGGAACAAAAATTCTGATCCATTTTATAACATGGGTGAACCTGGAAATCATTACAGCAAGTAAAATAATCCATACAAAAGAATAAGTATTATATGATTTTAACTTATATGAGTTATCTACATTAGGCAAATTCATAAAGACAGAAAGTAGATTAGAATATACTGGGAATTTGAGAAGGAGAGGAACAGGGAATGATTACTTTTTTTTTTTTTTATCTTTTATTTAATGAATATAAATTTCCAAAGTACGACTCATGTGTTACAATGGCTTCCCCCGATGATTACTTAATGTTACAGAGTTTGTGTGTGAGGCAATGAGAAAGTTTTGGAAATAGTGCGATGGTTGCAATATTGTGAAATACTGTGAAATGCAATTAATGTCACTGACATTTAAAATGGCACAGTTTATGTCATATTTTATCACAATCTTAAGCATTAACTTGTATACTTTAAATGAATGAATTATGTGGTATATGTGAATTGTATCTCAATAAAGTTGTTAGAAAACAAAACAAAACATAGACTATGTCACTATATATACTCAGGTTTAAACTCTGGGTTGCTCATTTACCAGCCTAAGGTATCAGTTAATTCACTTAACTGATTTTTCTTATCCTAAAATAGAGAACATTAAGTTTATCTGCTTCATAGCGCTCTTTTTTTTTTTTTTATTTTTTTTATTTTATTTTATTTATTTTTTTATTTTTTATTTTTGACAGGCAGAGTGGACAGTGAGAGAGAGAGACAGGGAGAGAAAGGTCTTCCTTTGCCGTTGGTTCACCCTCCAATGGCCGCCGCTGCAGCCGGCGCACCGCGCTGATCCGATGGCAGGAGCCAGGAGCCAGGTGCTTTTCCTGGTCTCCCATGGGGTGCAGGGCCCAAGCACCTGGGCCATCCTCCACTGCACTCCCTGGCCACAGCAGAGAGCTGGCCTGGAAGAGGGGCAACCGGGACAGAATCCGGCGCCCCAACCGGGACTAGAACCCGGTGTGCCGGCGCCGCAAGGTGGAGGATTAGCCTATTGAGCCACGGCGCCGGCTCATAGCGCTCTTAATAAGATTGATGTAATTCATGTAAAATATTTAGCATAGAGCCTGGCACACAGCTGGTACTGAAAAAAGGTTAGCCTTAGGAGGAAATATAGTATAATGCTTGTGAGGTAGAGCTTTAAAGATTAATTACTTGGTTCTAAATCCAAAGGTTACTCTTCTGACATCAGGTAACAGTTACTTATGCCTCCGTTTCCTCATCCGCAAAATGTAATTTCTAACAGTACCTATACTTCATAGGTTTGTTTTGAGGATAAAATACCAAAGTATTTAAGGATGTTAGCAAAAATTACTGTTAACAAAGAAGTGAAAAATAAGCAGATTTTAATACTTTAACAATCCCTATATAAGCTATAATGAATGCACTGATATTGTGAATTGAAAATAGTGACATATTTAACAATTAAGCAAAATCTCACTTTAGAAACAAAATTTTGGGGCCAGCACTGTGGCATAGCGGGTAAAGCCGCTGCCTGGGATGCCGACATCCCATATGGGTGCCGGTTTGAGTTCTGGCTGCTCCACTTCTGATCCAGCTCTCTGCTATGGCCTGGGAAAGCAGAAGATGGCCCAAGTCTTTGGGCCCCTGTGTCTGCATGGGAGACCCAGAAGAAGCTCCTGGCTCCTGCGTTTGGATCAGCGCAGCTTTGGCCTCTGCAGTCAATTGGGGAGTGGACCAGCGGATGGAAGACCTTTCTCTCTTTCTCTCTCTCTCACCTCTGCCTCTTTGTAACTCTGCCTTTCAAATAAATAAATCTTAAAAAAAAAAAAAAAAAGGAACAAAATTTTCCCTAACTGTGCTTCCCTACAACTCAACCCTTTGGGAAAATTAGTTTCAAGACAGATGAATTCTGAATTATTTAGGGGTCCAAGAATGCTTGCTTTATATAAAATGTATTCTTTTACAAAAGACATCCTTTTACCAAAGACATTCTTCTCAGATCTGGAAAAAATGATGCTGAAATTCATATGGAGGCACAGGAGACCTCGAATAGCTAAAGCAATCTTGTACAACAAAAACAAAGCCGGAGGCACCACAACACCAGATTTCAGGACACACTACAGGGCAGTTATAATCAAAACAGCATGGTACTGGTACAGAAACAGATGGAGAGACCAGTGGAACAGAATAGAAACACCAGAAATCAATCCAAACATCTACAGCCAACTTATATTTGATCAAGGATCTAAAACCAATTCCTAGAGCAACGACAGTCTATTCAACAAATGGTGCTGGGAAAACTGGATTTCCACGTGCAGAAGCATGAAGCAAGACCCCTATCTTACACCTTACACAAAAATCCACTCAACATGGATTAAAGATCTAAATCTACAACCCAACACCATCAAATTATTAGAGAACGTTGGAGAAACCCTGTAAGATATAGGCACAGGCAAAGACTTCTTAGAGAAGACCCCGGAGGCACAGGCAGTCAAAGCTGAAATTAACAAGATCTTTATAGTGAGACAATTTATGTTTTTCATATAACTAAGACAAAAGCTACTGTACATAGGACATAAGTACAGTTCAGCAAAAAGTAGTTCAATGATGTGCATAATTCTTTATGAGTTATGGACTAGTTCTTCAGGTTTGGGGGATAATTATTAATGTCAACAATATTTTAATATACAGCACCTCCTATTTCAACATCAATGATTTAGATACCTCATTTTCAATGTAGCTATTGAGAAGATCTTGGCCCAGCTGTCTACATAGGCTGCTTTGAATAGGAAGATCAATACTCTTGACTTTTCCTTTTTTAATGTTTTGATTTAATCGGTCTTGTTTGTCTGAGGGAGCTAACTGTAAAAAAAAAAAAAAAAGCCAAGAGAGAAATGTAAATTTCTAAAACTAACAATAAATTTCAGAATGAAACAGACAATTAAAATCAAACAAAACTACTACCAAGTATTATACTTAATTTATTAAACACATTATTTTAACTCAGTATTTTACGTTCTATGTATACTAAATTCTACATAAAAATTGAGTGGGAAATGCAAATCAAAACTACAATGACTTATCCATTTTATAATAACTCTGATGGCTATAATAAAAAATGGCAAGTGTTAGGATGTGGAGGGATTAAAACCCTCAAACATTAATAACAGAATTATAAAATGTTTGGCAAACAGTTTTTCAAAATGTTAAACACAGCAACACCATATGAAGAGGCAACTCCATTCTTAGGAATATGCTCAAGAAAAATCAAAATTATACACCCACAGAAAAACTTGTACATGATTGTGTATAACAACATTATTCATAATGAAAAGAAGGTGAAAATAATTCAAATGTCCATCAACTTATGATGGGTAAATTTAAATGTGGTATGCACTGGCATAATGAAGTATTACTAGGCTATATAACAGAATGAAATACTGACACATTCTACAAGTGGCATGAGCTTCAAAAATATTATGTTTAACGGAAAGAAGTCAGTCACAAAGAACCATATACTGTGTAACCATATTTATATGCAGATCCAGAATAGGCAAATCTATAGAGACAGAAAGCAAATTAGTGACTGCCTAGGGCTGGCAGGAAGAGGGTGGAGGGGAAATAGGTAGTTATTGCTAATGGGTACAGGGCTTCTTTTGGGGTGACGGAAATGTTCTAAAATTGTGATCATGCTTGCACAATTCTGTGAACATACTAGAAAACATTTAGACAAAAATGTTTCACGTTTTAAATAACTGTAGAGCCTAGGATATAAAATTCAATTTTTGAGGCCAGCATTGCAACACTGAGGGTTAAATCGCCACCTGCGATACCAGCATCCCATATGAGTGCGAGTTTGAGTCCTGGTTGCTCCCCACTGCTGATTCAATTCCCGGCTAATGGGCCTGGGAGAGCAGTAGCAGATTGCCCAAGTGATTGGGCCCCTACTATGCATGTGAAAGACCTGAATGTAGTTCCAGGTTTCTGGCTTCCACTGGGCCAGCCAGCTATTATGGTCAATTGGGGAGTGAACCAGCAGATGGAAGATATCTTGCTGTGTCTCTTCTCTTCTCTCTCTGTAACTCTGTCAAATAAATAACTCTTCTTTTCTAAAAAACATTAATGTTTACATCTGAGAAAAATACATATAACTTATATAGATTAAATTCTGTGCAAGTTAGAAAAATCTGTTGAAGATGAAAGCTTACAGCTGTAGCCACATTAATCTAGCTGACTGGGGCAGACTCTTATTTGAAATGATTATCTCAGTAAAATAATTACCATCAATAATAAAGTTGTTATCCTCTGATCTCTAAATTTTACTTTTAAAAACATTTTTGCATAAAGAAAAATATTTCATTATAGCAGCAAAACCAACAGCAGCCAGCGTCGAGCCAGATGGAAAACAAGAATAAAGAACTCCACCCAGGTCTTCTGCAAGGGTGGCAGAGACCCAAGTACTTGAGCCATCACATCGACAGGAACCCGGATCAAAAGAAGAGCCAGGACCCAAACTAGCACTCCTGTATGTCATACAATCCCAAGGGTGCCTGTGACATATGCCTGCCCTTTATTTATTTATTTATTTATTTATAAATACCATTGAACTTAATTTTTTTGGAACGGGGGGAAGGGGAAGGAGAGGGAGAGCGAGAGAGAGAGAGAGAGAGAGAACCTTTCATCTGCTGGTCCCAAATGTCTGCAACAGACAGAGTTAGGCCAAAGCTGGGAACAGTTACCCAATATCGGCCTTGCCCATGTAGGTGGCAGGAGCCAACTACAGAGCCATCACCTGCTACCTCATAGGGTGTGCATTAGCAGGTGCTGCAATCAAAATGGAGCTAGGACTCAAATGGGATATGAATGTCCCAAGCAGTGTCTTAAATGCTAGTCGAAACATCCACCCTAACGTATTGCTAATTTCTTTTCTTCATGGGGCTTGTTCCATTTCAAAATTTCTCTGAGATTATATGAGAAAAAAATCACTGAAAAATATATCTTTTCCTATCAAAAAGATAGTTTTTATTGTTAGGGTTCAGATCCAGCTGTTGTAGGCATTGAGGGAGTGAACCAGCAGATGGAAGATCTCTCAAGGCTGATGTGGCACAGCAGGTTAAGCTGTTGCCTGTGACGCCAGAATCCCACATGGGGACTGGTTCATGTCCCTTTTGCTCCATTCACATGATCCACCTCCCCGCTAATGTGCCTGGGAAAGTAGCAGAAGATGGCCCAAGTCCTTGGGCCCCTGCACACACGTGGGAGACTCAGAGGAAGATCCTGGCTGCTGGCTTGGGCCTGGCCCTGTCCTGGCCACTGTGGCCATCTGGGGAGCGAACCAGTGGATGGAAGATTCTCTCTCTATCTCCTCCCCACCCCTCTTTTGTAATTCTGCCTTTCAAATAAGTAAATTTCTTTTTTTTTTTTTAAAGAAAGCCTCTATAATAAAATACTGAAATGCATTTATTCTGGCTATCAGTTTCCTATACTTTTCTACAGTACTAAGATAAAAATATCCAGTGAGGTTGGGTGTTAGGCACAGTGGCTGGGTTGCTGCTTAGGATGCCCACATACCAGACCAGAGTGCCTGATACGCATATTAGCAACGGCACTTCTCTGACCTAGCTCCCTGCTGGTGTAAATCCTGGGATGCAGCAAGTGCTGGTTTAAGTACCTGGGTCCCTGCCACCCACATGGGAGAATCAAAGTGAGTTCTGAGCTCCTGGCTTCTACCTAGCCCAGCCCTGGCTATTTTCAGCATTTGGGGAGTGAACCAGCAATTAGAAAATCTCTCTCTCTGCCTTTCAGATAAAATAAAAAAAAATAAAAATCAAGCATATCAAAAGCAAGCACCATAAAAGTAAACACATTAATTCAATATCAATCTCCAAAAGAATTACAAAAAGACTCCACCAAACCTTTGTTTTGGCTCCTGTATGATCAATTTCCTCTTCTGGGGTATGCTCAGCATGGCACTTTTGATGACTTCCTTCTTCTTGGTCAACCTGCATTTTATCCTGGAATGAAAATATGTTAATTGATACTGTATGTAGTATCTTTTTTGTTGTTTTCAAAAATTAAACTGTAGCTCCGGCCATTGCAGCCATCTAAGCAGTGAACCAATGGAGGGAAGACCTTTCTCTGTCTCTCCCTCTCACTGTCTGTAACTCTACCTCTCAAATAAAATCTTTAAAAAAAAATGCCAATATATTTGTGGGCTGATACTCTCAGTATTTTATGTACAAAAAAGAGTTCAAGCCTTTTTTGAAACATGGGTACACAGTAAAGTAAATGACAACAACTAAAAATAGATTAAAAGGAAAATAAAAATACAAAGGTCTACTTGAGGCTACGAGAATAAACCTTGTTTCATTCACCTGTGGCTACACTGCAAAATACATGGCAATTGTTCTCAAGTGAAATTTACAAGTTAACATTTACCAAAGCATGCTTACAGGCCAGCGCTGTGGCTCACTTGGCTAATCCTCTGCCTGCAGCGCCGGCACCCTGGGTTCTAGTCCCAGTTGGGGCACCGGGTTCTAGTCCTGGTTGCGCCTCTTCCAGTCCAGCTCTCTGCGAGGGCAGACAGAGGATGGCCCAAAGTGCTTAAAAACACACCCACACACACAAAGCATGCTTACAAAAAAAAAATCCAACTTGGAAAAGAAACAGGATAATTTATGTCTTTTACTCTATCTAGAATTAAGCAAATGTGTAATATGCAAAAAGTTGTCTTGGATAAGCTCATCTTTTTGTCAAAGAGAAAAACACGCTAGAAGATAATTCTATGTCATTAAAAGGTCAATTATTTCTGACACTCTAACTGCCCTTCCAATTCTGTAACCTCCAGAACCCTGTGATGGATAATAAACAAAAAAAGTTGAGTGGCGTTATACAGGAAGACACAAATATGTTATTAACTCTAATATACTACTAACAAAAAACCCCGATCATTTAAACTAATAAAAAAATAAAACAATCTGTAGACTGTTTTAGGTAGTATACACATTTTAAACATATTAATTTTTCCAATCCCTGAGTAAGGAGTATCTTTCCATTTTTGTGTGTCCTTGATGGTTTCTCTCATCAACATTTTATAAATTTCACTGTAGAGATCTTTTACTTCTTTGGTTAAAATTTATTCCTAAATATTTTATTTTTTTGTGGCTATTGTGAATGGGATTTCTTTCTTGATTTCTCTTTTGGCAAGTTCATTTTTGGTGTATAAAAATGCTACTGTTTTTGTATGTTGATTTTGTAACCTGAAACTTCTAAATTGGCTTATCAGTTCTAACATCTTTTTGGTAGAGTGTTTAGGTTCTTCCCATGTATAACATCCTGTCATCTATAAACTTGAGATCTTTTGACTTCCTCCTCTCCCACTTCAATGTTCTTTCTTTCTCCTTACTAATTGCTCTTGCTAATACTTCCAATACTGTATTGAATAAAAGTGGTGAAAGTGGACATCCTTTTCTTCCTCTAGAGATGGGGAGAATGTTCTCAGCTTTTTCCTATTCAGTATGATATTGGCTATTGATTTGTTATATATAGTCTTTATAATTTTTCCTATCAAAATACCAATGACATTCTTTACAGAATTAGAAAAAAAAAATCCTGGGGCCAGAACAGTGGCATAGTGGGTAAAGCTGCTGCCTGCAGTGCTGTCACCCCATATGGGCACTGGTTTGAGTCCTAGCTGCTCCACTTCTGATCCAGCTCTCTGGTATGGCCTGGGAAAGCAGTAGAAGATGGTCCAAATCCTTGGGCTCCTGCACCCATGTAGGAAACCTAGAAGAAACTTCTAGCTCCTGGCTTTGGCCTGGTCCAGCCCCAGGCATTGTGGCCATTTGGAGAGTGGACCAGCAGATGGAAGACCTTACTCTTTCTCTCTGCCTCTGTAACTCTGCCTTTCAAATACATAAATAAATCTTTAAAAAAAATTCCAAAATTCATATGGAATTACCAAAGACCCAGAATAGCCAAAGGAATTTTGAGCAGGAATAAATCAAGCTGGAGGCCGGCGCCGCGGCTCACTAGGCTAATCCTCCGCCTAGCGGCGCCGGCACACCGGGTTCTAGTCCCGGTCGGGGCGCCGGATTCTGTCCCGGTTGCCCCTCTTCCAGGCCAGCCCTCTGCTGTGGCCAGGGAGTGCAGTGGAGGATGGCCCAGGTGCTTGGGCCCTGCACCCCATGGGAGACCAGGAAAAGCACCTGGCTCCTGGCTCCTGCCATCGGATCAGCGCGGTGCGCCGGCCGCAGCGCGCCAGCCGCGGCGGCCATTGGAGGGTGAACCAACGGCAAAGGAAGACCTTTCTCTCTGTCTCTCTCTCTCACTGTCCACTCTGCCTGTCAAAAAAAAAAAAAAAAAATCAAGCTGGAGGGATCACAATACCTGATTCCAAAGCATACTATAAAGCTAATGGTAACTAAAAGAGCATGCATGGTACTGGCATAAAAACTGGCACATAGGTCAACGGAACAAGAGCCCAGAAATTAATTCTTATACATACAGTCAACTGATTCTTGACAAAAAGTACCCAAAACATTGGAGAAAGGATAGTCTTTTCCGTAAATGTTGCTGGCAAAGGAGATATATTTATGTAGAACAATGAAATTAGATCCGTACCTCTCACCATATACAATAATCAACTCAAGATGGATCAGACACCTAAATTTAAGACCACAGACTATGAAACTGCTAGAAGAAAATGTAGGTGAAATGCTTCAATACACTGGTGTAGGTGATGTCTTCTTAGGTAAGACCCCCTTAAGCACAGGTAACAAGAGCAAAATGGTAGTAATACGTTATTTCCTTAAGATAAATTAAAAAGAATATTTTAAGAATATAATCAATAGGGGGGATATCAATAGAAGTGCCTCTAGACTCTGGTTTCTCTGATTTTAAACCCCCTGAGAGTTGAAGCCATCTGTCTGTTCACTGCTGTATCTGAAAACACATTTTAGGTATTCTTTGTTTACTACTGAATAAAATCACTTAAGAGAAAAATCCAGAATTATTACCATGAATTCTAAGGCTATACATGATTTGTCCCTTGATCTACCATCTCAACTTCATTTTCTCTTCCTACTCTCCCCCTTTTGAGTCCTAAATCCTATATATCGACCACTGTTCTATTTGTTACAATAAAAAAGGAGTTCCTATACCAGGGCCCCTGTATTTGTTATTTCCTTTGCTTGGACAACTAACTTTTTTTCAAATTGCCTAGCTCACCCATTCCTTCCTTGGTTGCTTTTCTTATCACCATCACATTGTTAATTTCTATTATGCATCCCTATTAATTTTATTTTTTAAAAAGATTTATCTATTTGAAAGTCGGTGTTACACAGAGAGAGAGAGGGAGAGAGAGAGGGAGGGAGGGAGGGAGGGAGGGAGGGAGGGAGGGAAGAAGGGTCTTCCATCCGCTGGCTCACTCCCCCCAATTGGCCGCAACAGCCAGAGCTGCGCCAATCTGAAGCCCAAGGACTTGGGCCATCCTCCACTGCTTTCCCAGGACACAGCAGAGAGCCAGATAGGAAGTGGAGCAGCCGGGACTTGAACTGGTGCCCATATGGGATGCTGGCACTGCAGGTGGCAGCTTCACCCGCTATGCAACAGTGCCAGCCCCCATTAATTTTCTTTAGATTTACAGTCTATCATATTGCTTCTTCCTTGCCCTTTCTCAATGGAATGTTAAGTCACACATGGGTGAGAACCTTTTTTATCTTGTTTACCATTACATCCCCAGTGCCTAGAAGATTTGCTACTTCTTATAAATAATAAACTATTCTGAATTAAAAATAAGCACATGAGGGCTGGTGCTATGGCACAGCAGGTCAAGCGGCCACCTGTGGTGCCAGCATCTGATATGGGCACTGGTTTGAGTCCCTACTACTCCACTTCCAATCCAGTTCCCTGCTAATGGCCGGGGAAAGCAGTGGAAGACGGCCCAAGTGCTTGGGGCTTTCACCTGCGTGAGAAACCTGGAATAAGTTCCTGGCTTCGGACTGGCCTAACTCCAGCTGTTGCGGCCCTCTAGGGAGTGAACCAGTGGATGGAAAGATCTCTCTCTGTGTTTCTCTCTATATATGTAACTCTGCCTTGCAAATGAATAAATAAATCTTAAAAATAAGTACATGAAAAGATAACCCAAATGGTCAACAATTGAGAAACAGTTAAATTGTAATATGTTTGATTCCTGGTTTTATGATGCATTCTAAGATGTGATAACTTCTTAATATGCACAAATAACCATATATACCAAGAAGAGAGTTGTGAATCTCCTGAGACATTCTTATAGTTAAGAAAAAGCAGATAATTTACATAATTTTTTTCAAACAAAATCAAAGCTATCTGAATTTTGAATAAAAAATGAGCACATAGAATAATCTTTCATAAATTTATCCTCATGGAAAAAAAAGACTTCTGGGGCTGCTACTCATTAGCTTATGTCTGAGCTTCTTTACCGTACAGCCAGCAAGGTTAGCAGTGAGAGAACAGAAAAACTATGACCTTATTTTCTCCTCTAAAATTGAAACAATCACCACCCACAATCTACTTAGAACTGGTTCACTCTTTGAGTAGAAGAAATATATAATGATATATATAATATATATCAATTATATATTGTGTATTTATATATTTATATATAATTATATATTATATATTAATGATATATATACTATATAGTGATATTTAAGCCTTATGACTTTTACACTTCTGGACCCTAGAAAAATACATTAAAAATTAAAGCACACAGGATATTTTCTACACAAGGTACTAACATCACCCTTTATATTAGCAAAGAAAAATAAACAAACTATAATTTACTCAACACTTATTATATTAGCCATGGTAGAGATTTAAAAGTAATATACCTGTGAATTGTCTTATCAACAATGCAAAGTCCATGATTCATTAAATTAGTTATTTTTCTTCTCCCTTTGATTATATAATTTATAAAAGCAATATTCAAGAACATCTCACCTACTTGAAATTCCTTACATGAGAACCTCAACTACCTTAAAAAGTTCTAGTAAGCCAAAACCACAAAGTTCTTTTAAGAACTGAGTGACAAAAACAGATGTCATAAATCCATGCAGTTTATTTTTGACAGGTGGTCCTTTAAGTCCACATCAAGAAAGCATCCTAAAAAATTGGTCAATTGGATTTGCAGTCCACATACAGAAGCAGTAAATAAATTCTAGGGGAAATAAAAGATGAGTGTCATACCATTCTTGTTGTTATTTCAATTTCCTAACATTAAAGAGAAAACAGAAAGTCTAAGCAGAGACACTTAAAAGAGGTAAGGGAGGTGTTGTGACACAGCTGATAAGCTGCCACTTGGGACATCCACATCCCATACAGGGGTGCCTGGGTTGAGGCTCAGCTACTCAAATCCAGCTCACTGCTAATGTACCTGGCAGGCAGTAAATGATGGCCCAAGTCCTTGGGTTTCAGCCACCCCTGGATGGAATTTCTGGCTCCTGGCTTTCTCCTGGCCCAGACCTGGTTGTTGCAAACATTTGGGAAGTGAACCAGTGGCTGTAAATGTATCTCTTTAGGCCTTTCCTCATTTCTCAGTCACTCTGCCTTTCAAATGAATCAGTCTTCATTTTTTTTTTTAAAAAGTGAAGAAAGTAAAATGTGCTCAAATTTAGTAAAAATAAATCTTAATGGATTAATTTATCTAACATGAGTTATTGTGAATTGCAATTTAAAAAGTTCACTTTTTTCTACTTATCCTTATGTTAATTTTTAAGAAATGGTTATATCTTCATTAACAGATTAGGGCATTTCTTCTTCAATTCAAATAAGGAAGAATGTGACAGCAAAATGACACATGAAAGAATAAAAATAAACAAAAAGTTACAGTCCTTAAATGTAGTACTTTAAGGCTAGTGGGTAAATTCTGATCGATCTAGAAGGAAAGATTATAATTATTTCAAAAGAAAACCTTCAAAATGGAGAAACTGTCTTGAAATTTAATAAAATAAAATCTGTACTTAATATGCAGAAATAGATGACAATAGATCTCTAATTATGATTATAAAAAAATCTAACAAATGCCATTAAAAATAATAAAGAAGAGACATAAAAAACATGAAAACTCTGTGTAATGCAATATGATCAACTTCCCCTAAGATTCCTTCCTCTTAGTATCCCCAGGTAAATTCAGTGTCACATAACTATCATAAAGAAAAAGCAAGAAATCTGCAGAGGAATGTGCATTACATTCCTCTGCTTAACTGCTTCAGATGCCCCCTAACTGAATCTTAGAGAATTCTTTATTAGGCATGTATTTCCAATCTAAAAATGTGTATTTAATTAAAAATATTTCATTCTGATTTTAGCTGTAAGCTAAAAAAAAAAAAACCATAATAACACATGTTTTTAACAGAAATTAAGAACGTAAGGATGACTGCTAACATACATGATCCATATAATGCTATGAAAGATGCACAAGCCCCTGAAAAAATGCATTTCAATATGAAAGATGTAGAAAATTTAAATAAATGATCTAACAGAAATGTTTATAGAGTCCTACAGCAGAAATTTAAAATAAAGCCTTACAGATCAATGTTTCAACTATTAAAGTGCCAGTTAAGATAATGTACTGAATAAAATATATTAGAAAAACTTTGAGACAGATTTCTACATACCATATCATCTTTGTTTTCATTCTTAAATGAAGTGTCTGTCTCCATAGGAGCATCACTGTGATCTCCTTCCAAATTCTGTTTCTCAATTACGGATGCACTAGCCACACTGAAGATTCCATGGATGTTGACACGAACTTTAACCTTTACTTTTGAACTATCACCATCAGACTGTGGAAAAACATTCTGAATAGTGAAGCTCCCTTAAGGAAAAAAGAGTTTTAATCAGTACATGAGCCTCGGATTAACTCATGTAATTTGTTCAATAATCTGTCATCTTTAAGATGCTGGCAAACAACTGTAAAATTATAATCACATCGTTATAATTTAGGTACTTCTCCCAGAATATCTTTTTCATAGGATACAAAATTTGATATGAGACTCAGAAATGTTAAATAAACTCACCCCAAATCCTCAATACTAGTGAAAAGAAGTGTTGAGATTTTAATCAAGGACAATTTGATTCCTAGGAAATGTAACTTCTAAGCATTTTATTTTATAATACTACTACTCTAAAACCAAAATAAAAATAATTCAGCTTCTAAGGTTGAAAACAAAACAGATAGCTCTCTGCTCTAACCTTTATAGATAGTAACCATCTTGGTAATTATTAAGTAAAGGAATTTCAAAAATTTTTGAAATTTTCTTTTAACAAAATTTGTGACATCAATCACAGAAAACAGAATACTAGGCAGCAAAACTAGATAGTAAAAAATGTGGCTGCTCTTTTTTTGGGTTGAATTATGTCCCACCCCTGTTCATATGTTTGAGTCTTAACTTCCCAACTATCTCATATTGTCTGTATTTGGATATCAGGTCTTTAAAGATGTCTGAAGGAGGTAATATGTTAAGATTGGGTCATTAGGGTGAGCCCTATTACAATATAACTGGTGTCCTTATTGAAAGAAGTAATTTGAGAACAGACAAATGCACGTGCGAGAGAATAATATGTGAACATGAAAGTGGTCACCTATAAACTCCAAGACAAGCCTGGAATGGATTCTTCCCCCATACAACCCTCAGAAGAAACCACACTTGCCAATACCTTGATTTCAGAATTCTGACTTCCAGAACAGAGACAATAAATTTACATTGAATAAATCTCCTAAGTTGTGGTACTTTCTTAGAGCAACCCTAGAAAATTAATTAAACCTTTTAATAATTGTTATTGCTTTAAATAATGTTATTTGAAATATTTTTTGTCCCCCTTTTGGTCTATCAATATAGAAAATTTTTAAACTTAAAAATAATTCCTCTTTGGAGTCTCTGAAGGGGGAATGATGTAGGCAGGCATTCAGGTTAAAATTGATTAGGTTTGTGAGTTGGAAGACCACTGCCTTCAGCCACGCCCCTGTGTGACCTCATGCCACTACCTGACCATACCTCAGCACCCACCAGCCAATCAGGTTAATCAACCACTCCCCTTTGGAAGTGGATTAAAAGCCTGGGACAAGGTGTGCCTGCCCTTTCCTTGCTTTGGCCTTTTGCCAGTATGGCGCCTGCTGTGGCCGTGCGCCTCCAGGGTGCATGGTCTTCGGGGCACCCCAACTCACGCTTCCTGGCCTAGATGCTCCTCCGCGTGGCTAGTTTCTGGTACTCGGTATGAACCCAGATTTACCTCTCTCCTTTAGACAGGGCCCTCACTCTCCTATGCATCTTTCTCACTGAATAAAGGCTTAAAATGTAAAATAAATAGATAAAAAATAATTCCTCTTAAATAATACAATTATTTTATCATATCTCCTGGATAGATTATTCAGTTAAAACAGTCTTATTAATCCAATAATACTTATTCTAGTTGTTGTCAGTGAACAAAGTTTTTCTTTAAAAGATGTATTTGCTATCTGAAAGGCAGAGTTACAGAGAAGTAAATGCAGAGAGAGAGAGAGAGAGAGAGAGAGAGAGAAAGTCCTCCATTCAGTGTTCACTCCCCAAATGGCCACAACAGCCAGGAGCTAGGAGCCAGGAGCCTCCTCCAGACCTCCTCCAGGGGTGCAGGGGCCCAAGGACTTGGGCCATGTTCCACTGGTTTCTCAGGCCATAGCAGAGAGCGGGATCAGAAGTGCAGCAGCCAAGACTGGAACCAGCGCTCATATGGATGCTGGCACTGTAGGTGACAGCTTTACCTACTACACCTCAGCACTGGCCCCGAACATAAAGTTTTTTTTTTTTTGACAGGCAGAGTGGACAGTGAGAGAGAGAGAGAGAGACAAAGAGAAAGGTCTTCCTTTTGCCGTTGGTTCACCCTCCAATGGCCGCCGCGGCCGGCGCGCTGCGCTGATCCGATGGCAGGAGCCAGGTGCTTCTCCTGGTCTCCCATGAGGGTGCAGGGCCCAAACACTTGGGTCATCCTCCGCTGCACTCCCGGGCCACAGCAGAGAGCTGGCCTGGAAGAGGGGCAACCGGGACAGAATCCAGCGCCCCGACCGGGACTAGAACCCTGTGTGCCGGCGCCACAGGCAGAGGGTTAGCCTACTGAGCCGCGGCACCGGCTCGAACATTAAGTTTTAAAATCAGAATATATGGTGAGCTTGGCAGCACAATTTGAATTTACTGACTAAAGAGTTTTTCCAGAAAATACTCATACAACTTTTTAGGCCACTTGTATTTTAAATATAGAAATCAAAATTAATTAAACATACTCAAGCCTGCTGTTGTTCTAAAAATAAACTGAGCACTAAAAACTGCATGTTAAGAAGTATGAATATATTTCTTTAAATACCTAGTGTTGGCTTAGTGGAAGTGTCAATTTATTTGTTTCTTTAATTATACATATTACTTATTAAAAGTCAACAATTTATGGGAAGTTATTTTCTTACCAATTCTTGCATCAGGATAAGGCACTTCATGCAAATTCGTATAAAATGCTTCTAGTTCAAATGGTTCCTTCTTGTGGAAAGTGATGACTTTTGAGAATGGGGCAGGATGGTTCTTACAGAACACTTCACATTCCCTAAAATGTAATGGGAACAAATAGAAAACAAAGTTGACTGTGAACATAACTCAGAATCTATCTTTCTTCCATCTTTCTGTTTGTTTCTTTTTGTTCTGGAGAGAGACAGACTAAAAGAGAAAGGCAGATTTCACCTGTCCGCTGGCTTACTCCCCAAATGCCCAGAACAGCTGAGGCTATGGCAGGCTGAAGCCAGGAGCCAGGTCTCCCATATGAACAACAGAAACCCAACTATGTGTGTCACCATCCATCTGCTGCTTCCCCGAGTGCTACACCAGCAGGAACTGGTAGCAGAGCTGGGACTTGAACCTAGGCACTCTAACAAAGGATGTCAGTATTCCAAGCAGTGTCCTAACTACTGCTCCAAACATCCACCCCTCCATTTCATTTTAATTCCTAAGCAACAACTGCAAAGATCTGTAAAAACAAATGTAAAAAAACACAATTTTTGATTTAGCTATAAACACGTATTTTGTCAGCTTATGGTTACAAGTTTTTTTTGTTGTTGTTTTGTTTTTTGACAGGCAGAGTTAGACAGTGAGAGAGACAGAGAGACAGGTCTTCCATTTCCATTGGTTTACCCCCTAAATGGCCGCTATGGCCAACGCGCTGCGGCCGGCACACTGCGATGATCCGAAGCCAGGAGCCAGGTGCCTCCTCCTGGTCTCCCCTGCAGGTGCAGGGCCCAAGGACCTGGGCCATCAATTGCCTTCCCAGGCCACAGCAGAAAGCTGGACTGGAAGAGTAGCAACCGGGACAGAATCCGGCACCCCAACCCGGACTAGAACCCACGGTGCCAGCGCCATAGGCAGAGGATTAGCCAAGTGAGCCACAGCGCCGGCTGTTTTTAGAATGTCTACCCTAACAGTTGTATAGTACTAAAAAGAGAAAAATTAACAAAGAATGTATGTATTCAGGGGAATTTCAAAAAGTTCATGGAAAACTGAATTGATTATTATTTTGGTACAAAAAAAGGTTTTTAAACCTATGCATTAATTTTTTCATCACAGCAATTTTCCCACAATCTTTTTGAAGATCTCTTTATGGCTAATATGCAGGATTTTGTAAAATCACATTTGAAGATCAGTCCCTAATCATTAATTTCCAAAATACTTGCCATATATAACTCTTTCAAATTCCAGCTTCTTTTGAAAAACTTTTATTAGGAAATAATTTTTTTCAAAGATTGATTTATTTGAAAGGCAAAGTTAGACAGTAGGGTGGGGTGGGGGGAGAGATTTTCCATCTGCTGGTTCACTTCCCGAATGGTCCCAACACTCAGGGAATTTTAAGAAGTATAAATTCCTTTAATTTGGAAAAGTAAGCTTAATCAGGTAATGATTTATGACGAGCTCCAACCAAGGTTTTAAAAATAACTTACCCAGTTCCATCTTCAAAAGAGGTCTTCCACCTTAGTGTGATTGAATAGGGAACAATGTCTGTTATGGAAAATTCACGCACTTTAAATGCTGGTGAGAGAATCGCACACTGAAAACAAGATGTATACCATATTTAAATAAATAAACCCAAACTATACCCTAGGTTACCCTGATCTAAGTGCTTAATAAGGTCTTTAGATTAAAATTATTACATTTAAAAATTTTGGTAATGACTACAGAAAATCCAAAGAGTCAGAATACTCTTTATGTGACCTTAAAAAAATTAATGTAAGAGTATTTTCTATTGTAAGAATTCATTTAAAAAAAGTTCGGTGTACTTACAAACATATTGTCCTAATATAATTTAGAACTATAAATGAGATTTATCAAGAATAATTTCAATTTATTTAATTTTACTGACAAATGGTTACAAAAGACAATATGAAGAGAGTCCCCAAGACCTATCACAACATACCTTCTTAAAAAGTCAATATTCATACCTGTAATGCACATCCTCTTGCAACAGCTTCATCAGCATTTAATGTGGTACTTATGTCTTTCAGAAAGAATTTACTGATTTGTTCCTTCACTGCAGGAATTCTTGTTGCCCCTCCTACAATTTCTATACTACTTATGTCTTCACGTTGTAAGTCTGGAAAATAAAACGTTTTTAATTGAGAAAAATAAGAATCATTAAAAGTTTGTGAAGAGTAGGCTTTTTTTAAAAAAAAGATTTATTTATTTATTTGAAAGGCAGAGTTACAGGGGCAGAGAGAGAGAGGGAGAGGGAGAGGGAGAGGGAGAGGGAGAGGGAGAGGGAGAGGGAGAGGGAGAGAATGAATGGAGCAAGAGAGACAGAAAGTTCTTCCATCTACTGGTTCACTCCCCACATGGCCATAAAGGCCGGGGCTATGGCAATCTGAAGCCAGGAGCCAGGAGCTTCTTCTGGTTCTTCCATGCAGGTGCAGGGGCCTAAGCACTTGGGCCATCTTCTACTGCTTTCCCAGGCCACAGCAAAGAGCTGGATTGGAAGTGGAGCAGCCAGGACTCGAACCGGCGTCCACATGGGATGCCAGCACTGCAGGCAGTGGCTTTTACTTGCTATGCCACAGCACCAGCCCCGAACAGTAGACTTTAAAGGAGATCAAATATATATGTACTCAAAAGAAGGTACTATGGAAAGAAGATAAAAATACAAACTTTGGAAAAAGACATTTAATGAATATTAGTTATATATGTGACAGGCACCGAACTTAATCCATATGATGAAGTTTTAATATAGATAGACAAATCCCTATAGAATGTATGATTGATTACAAAAAAAACTTAGCCAAATACAATCAAGCCCATTACTAGTTTAATTTCACTTAAAAATTTTGCATAATCACATACAAACACCTCCAAATAGAATTAGCATTAGTTTTATGATGTAAAAAATAAAACAATAAAATAAGCCAGGAAGAATTCTTAAAAATCTAGATTTAGGACATATAATGAATAAAGAAGTTACAGGGTCTGGCATAGTGAGTGAAGCTGCCACCTGTGACACTGGAATCCCACATGGGTTTGGGTTTGAGTCCCAGCTGTTCCACTTCAGTCCAGCTTCCTGCTAATGTACCTGGGAAAGCAGTGGAGGATGGCCTAAGTAGTTGGGCAGCTGTACCCATGTTGGAGACAGACCCAGAAGAAGCTCTTGACTTTGGCTGGCCCAAAGCTGGACCGTTGTGGCCATCAACAAGTATGCCAGCAGAAGTCAGAGCTGTCTCTCCCTCTAATTCTTTAAAATGAAATGAATCTTACAAAAAAAAAAAAAAAAGATGCTAATTAGGACACCTATGTCCCACTTAGAAGTGGCTGAAATTTATTCCCAGCTCTGGTTCCTGATTCCACTCTCCTGCTTATAATTCAGGCCCTGGGAAGCAGCAAGAATTGCTCAGAGTTGAGTTCCTGGCTCCCACCTACAGCCTCCCAGCCACTGTAGTCATTTGGAGAGTAAAACAGTGGATGGGGGAGAGGGCATCTTTCTATTTACCTGTTTTTCTGTCTTTGTTTTTTTTTTTAAGACTTATTTTTTTATTTGAGTGGTAGAGTTACAGACAGAGAGGGAGAGACAGAGAGAAAGGTCTTCCATCTGCTGGTTCACTCCCCAAATGGCTGCAATGGCTGGAACTAGGCCTAATCTGAAGCCAGGAGCTTCTTCTGGGTCTCCCACGTGGGAGCAGGGTCTCAAACACTTGGGCCATCTTCCACTGCTGGATCAGGCCATAGCAAAGAGCTGGATCAGAAGAGGAGCAGCAGAAACATGAACCAGCACCCATGTGGGATGCCAGCACCACAGGTGGAGGCTTAACCTACAGGGCTTCCTGTCTCTGTGTTTCTACCTCTCGGGAAAAAAAAAAAACAAAAAAACAAAAAAAAAAACTTATGATTTCTCTTCCTGTAAAATGGAAGTTACACATGTGTAAAGAAAAAACAAAAAACATGGGGCTGGCGCAGTGGTGCAACGAGTTAACACCCTGGCCTGTAGCACTGACATCCCATATGGGCACCGGTTTGAGTGCCGGCTGCTCCACTTCCCATCCAGCTCTCTGCTGTGGCCTGGGAAAGCAGTAGAAGATAGTCCAAGTCCTTGGGCCCATGTACCCACATGGGAGCCCCAGAGAAGGCTCCTGGCTTCAGATCAGTGCAGCTCCGGCTGTTGCAGCCAATTGGTGAGTGAACCATTGGATGGAAGACCCCCCGCCCCCACCTCTCTGTGCAATTCTGACTTTCAAATAAATAAAAAAATCTTTAAAAGAAAAAAAAACATGCAGTTTTCCTTGCTTTTACCATTTTTACCCTTCTTAAGTAAGTAACACCATGGTAAAATTTTGATAGTCCAGTAATTGCCACTTACTAGCCTGCTCCATTACTCCTTTTAAAGGTGGTTCAACCCTGGCCAAGAGGGAAGCACATAATTGTTCAAATTGAGATCTGTGGGAAAATGAAATAAAATTCATTATTTAGCGATTAAAAAGTGTATCTTTTAAACAGAAGGAAAAAAATCACATGTGATTTAAACATTATAAAACAAGCAAACACTCTTCAAACTGAAAACGCTTATGGTACCTGTTCATTTTACTAGAAACGTCAAGGTCATTCATGAAACACTCAATGTTCAGTGGAAGATCTGATGCATTTGCACTCATTAGCTTCTTTAGTTTCTCACATTCCTGATATAAACGTAACAAGGCCCGAGAGTTTTCTTTCACATTTATCTTATATTTGGTCTTGAATTCATCGCAGAAGTAGTCTACTAAAGCCTCATCAAAGTTCCTGCCACCCAAATATGGATCAAAGGTAGTAGCCAAGACCTGTTTAATTGAAAAAGCAGAACTGAATTTTCAGAAATATAGATTCTTTCAAAAATGAACAAACAAAAATAAAAAAAAGAAAAGTTTCTAAAGTTATAACAATAAAGCTAAGCTAAATAAGTTGTCTAATCACAAGGATGTCCACTGTGGAATCAGAGTTAAATTATTGCTTACATTCAGTCAACATTATTTCCTTACTTTGAATTATCTGCTTTATAGTTAGAGGCTCATATATCACAATTAAAAGAATACTTCTAATTCTTAAATAATTGGACCAAAATAAATGCAAGTTCATTATCTCTAATCCTTTGGTTCTATAACAGTACTGAACAGGTAGTCCAGAAACCAAGTTTAAGAGCGCAAAGAAACAGTTCTAAGCATATAAACAAGAATCGAACATCCACAAAAAACAGATCCAAAAACTAAAAATAAATATTATAGTCAGTCAATTTATAGGTCTAGAACTAGGCCTTTTATTATTTAAATATATATACACACATATATATACACACACACACATCCAGTTTATTTTTGTGGGGAGCAAACCGGACTAGACTGAGTTACTGGAATTAAGACTTATTCTATGCATCTGCTCTCCCACAATATGGCGCTGGGAGAGAAGTAAACAGCTTCCGCACAGCTGCCTCCAGTTCAACTAATAAACTGTAGGACTTGCTCCTGATTGGAGGAGAGCAGCGTACTCGGCGTGTGGGCAGCCGAGTTGGGATTGGCGGAGGAGGACTATAAAGGAGGAGAGAGACGGCATGCACCAGGGACATCTAAGGGGAACCTCTAAGGGGAACACCTGTGCAGCCCCCAAGAGAGCCGGCCGGCAGTGTGCCGCTCCCCTGCGGAAGTGGGGAAGGTGGCCAGGGGGAACTGCCCTTCCACGGAGGTGGAAGGGATAGTAGCCAACCCGGGAAGAACCAGCAGCAAACCCGGGGAAGGCCGAGCAGACGAAAGAACAGCGCAGGGTCCTGTGTCGTTCCTCCACGAAGAGGGGGAGCGACAATTTTCACAAAAAATATGAAGAAATAAAGATATACATGAGAGAGCAAAAAAGAAAAGAGAAACAAATACAGAGGGAGACAAGTACCAATAAGCTTACTGAGAAATGGGCTTTCAGCAGTCAAGTAAAAGGGAAAAAACTTCAACATAAGAGTTTTTGAAAACATAGGCCAGGACATCTGGTCTACCTTCTTAGGGTGCAATGACGACTTGCAACAGTCAATACAAAACAAAGCATCTCACAGTTGGTATGGCTCTTCTGCTCTTTCTTTACAAAAGATGGGATGGAGTGGAAAAGTGGAAATAAACATCACAGTAGGATGTGAGGGCAATCTAGGTGGAATGTCAGCCTATAGACCCACATGAAGAGTCCATCCATAGACTTCTCATGAAGTTCAGCTTTACCCCAAATTAAATGAAAAATTATCTTAGTGTGTGACCAGCTCAAGTGTGTATTCTTTGGGGGAAAACGGTCATAGCCCTCACCTGGCCTTCAAAGGGGTCTATGATATAAAAATGATGGGTCACAACTCTAAGGCATCTACTAAAAAGGAAGCAAATAGGGGCTGGTGCTGTTGCACAGTGGGTTAATGCCCTAGTCTGAAGTGCCAGCATCCTATATGGGCCATGGTTCAAGACCCAGCTGCTCCACTTCCAATCCAGCTCTCTGCTATGGCCTGGGAAAGTGGCAGAAGATGGCCCAAGTTCTTGGGCTCCTGCACCCGCAGGGGAGACCTGGAGGAAGCTCCAGGCTCCTGGCTTCAGATCAGCACAGCTCCAACTGTTGCTGCCATCTGGGGAGTGAACCAACAGAAGGAAGACACCTCTCTCTCTCTCTCTCTCTCTCTCTGCCTCTCCTCTGTGTAACTCTTTCAAATAAATGAATAAATCTAAAAAAAAAAAAAAAGGAAGCAAATTAAAGGTTCTTTTAAAAATTAAGTTAAAATTTAAGGCTAAATAAATCAATCTACGCTGATAACTATCTTATATATTCAATGTGAGTCATTTCTCTTTAATTTTCTGATTACAAGGATGTTATTATAAACTGAAAGACAAAAGGCTTGAGGCTAGTGCATCTGGGAAATCAGTGAAAAATGGCCCCAGAGCTTGGCCCCTGCACCTATGTGGGAGACCCAGATGAAGCTACTGACTTTAGCCTGACCCAGCCCTGACCGTTGCAGCCATTAGGGGAGTGAACCAGTGAACAAAGACTCCTCTCGCTGCCTCTCTTTAACTCCACCTTTTAAATAAATCTTTAAAAAAAAAAAAAAAAGAAGAAAGAAAGGAGGGAGGGAGGGAGGAAGGGAGGAAGACAAAAGGCTTTTGCCATATAGGATAACCAAAAGCAATTTATCTTCTAAGTAAACTACTCATGTGCATAATCAAGGAGAATGTACCAAGGCTGGACAAAATAATCAATATAAAATGAAAATAAAACAAGAATATAGACTCTAAGTATGTAAACACATAGAACAACGTTAACTGTACAAAATAGTGATCAAGATTCCTGGAAAGAAAGGTTTCTACAAAAATTAGGAATCTTTAGTTTTCTACATTTATTAATGTATAATTTTTGTTCCCTGACAGATGACTTAACATCTCAACAACAAAAATAGCTAACATACGTTGTAGCAGATAATATATGCAAGACATTAAAAGCATTTTATATACATTAACTCATTCTGTCCTCATTCTTGGATGAGGAAACTAAGGTTTAGGGAGGTTAAATAACTTGCTCAAAATATCAGTTTTTAATGTGCAGAGCCTGAATTCAAACCAGGCTATTAAGGTTCTCTATACAGTTTATGCTCTTAATCACTAAAGTTAAATATAATAAATCATTAATTTACTTACTTTAAGTTTTCCTTTGTTAAAAGCACAAACCGAGACCTGATAGGCAGAATGTCCCATATCAATAAATACTACATTTCTTGGTTTCTCATCTAGCGAGGGAAGATCCTGCTTATAAATTCCGTATGCTAGCGCAACTGTGTAAGGACAAAGAATCAGATCAATTCCAACACAGCAGTTCCTTGGAAAGTAAGAGCTAAGTCACTCTGATACTCTATTTTAATACGTAGAACAGTAACACATATACATAGCCTCAAAGTAAGGGAATCTTTTCATAAAGTGGTTATATCTAAATTGTATTTTCCCCACCCATTTGTAACTCTAAAAGTAATCATTCTTATAACCAACAAGACAATAGTTAACCTCCGCCAAACTGTTGTACTTCAAAGCAACAGGCTTATAAGAATCAAGATGTAATAGATTTTTTAAGAAATCTGCTTTGTAAGTTTTTGGGGAAAAAAACTATAACAGTATTTTTCTGACTGATTTCAAACTGCAAAGTGCTTACCTGCAGTAGTTTCATTCATCAGCCTTAAACAATTTAAGCCTGCAACCTGGGCTGCAGCCATCACAGATCTTCTCTCAGCATCAGTGAAAAAGCTAGGAATCTGGTATTTAAAAATAACAATTATTTTAGATTGATGTAATACATTTTACTGAAATAGTTCATCAGTTGAAAATGTTAAACTGCACTAAAATTTATGGACAGTTTAAGGCAAAGAATAATGTTTTAATCAAATAAGTGAGGAAAAACACTAGTGTTTACTTTTAAGTTGGACAATTTCTATATGGTAACGTTTTTATGTAAAGTGACTAATAAGGAGAGGTGTTCAGCATGGCACTTAAGAAGACACTTGGCACACTCACATCCCATATTAGAGTGCCTGGGTTCAAGTTTTGGCTCTGCTCCCATTTAAGCTTCCTCCTAGTGTGCACTCTGGAAGGTATGCAGGTGATAGCTCAAGTGCTTGGGTTCCTGCCACCCACGTGGGAGACCTGAGTTGAGTTCCAGGATCTTGGTTTTGTCCTGATGAAGCCCTGGTTGTTGTAGGCACTTGGAAGGTGAACCAGCCTTTCAAATCAATCAATCTTTTTTTTTTTTTTTTTAATATTTATTTATTTGAAAGTCAGAGTGACACAGAGAGAGGAGAGGCAGAGAAAGAGAGACAGAGAGGCACACAGGCAGAGAGGCAAGAGAGAGAGAGGTGTCTTCCATCCAATGGTTCACTCCCCAACTGGCCACAATGGCCAGAGCTGTGCTGATCCGAAGCCAAGAGCGAGGAGCTTCTTCCAGGTTTCGCATGCGGGTGCGGGGACCCAAGGACTTGGGCCATCTTCTACTGCTTTCCCAGGCCATACCAGAGAGCTGGATGGGAAGTGGAGCAGTCAGGTCTTGAACCGGCGTCCATATGGGATGCTGGCGCTTCAGGCCAGGGTGTTAACCTGCTGTGCCACAGCGCCAGCCCCATCAAAAAAAAAATCAATCTTTAAAAAAATAAAATAATTAATAATATGGCAGGATTGCCAACTGCCAAAGTTTTGTTAATCTAAACATTTACTACAATAGTCTGGTCTGTTTTTCCATCTTTATATAATGAAAAATGGAAAACTCCAGATTCTGTTAAAATGAGATTAGTTAAGGATTAGTTAAGCATACTACAGTATATCCATATAATGGAATCTTATATAGCTGTTAGAATCAATCAGGTTCATGAGTTGTCAGGGAATGACATCTTAGTTTTATAAAAAAGAAAAAGAAACATGCATAGCATCATTCATTTTGTGTATGTACACAGAACGTGAAGATATATTCAGTTGTTTAAAAAAATTTTTTTTTTTTTATTTGAGAGGTAGAGTTAAAGACAGAGAGACAGACAGAGAGAAAGGTCTTCCTTCCGTTGATTCACTCCCCAAATGGCCACTACGGCCAGTGCTGCGCTGATCCGAAGCCAGGAGCCAGGTGCTTCTTCCTGGTCTCCCATGTGGGTACAGGGGCCCAAGTACTTGGGCCATCCTCTACTGCTTTTCCAGGCCACAGCAGAGAGTTGGACTGGAAGAGGAGCAACTGGGACTAGAAAGCCCATATGGGATGCCGGCACTGCAGGCGGAAGATTAACCAAATGAGCCATGGCACCAGTCCCAAATGGTTATATTTCCAAGGAGGGGAAATGTATCACAAGGAACTTATAATGAGCTTGTATTTCCTTAAAAACCATCAAAAAGTTAAATATATTTCTATTTAAAAATTAAGTAAACTCCAACTTAAAACTACTAAAGATTTATAAACAGTTCTATCAAACTAAATAGTACTTTGATTTGGCCCAAAGACAAATTTCTAAGAAGCCAATTATTAAGTATATACAAAATAACTTGGGCTCTCTCCAATTGTAGGTTTGAAGTAAGTAATCTCCAATTTTATTTTTTGAATGTAGAAGTCTCATTTAACAGATATAACAACACAAAAATAATCTCAACTTTGGTAAGTTTGCATATCCTATTTTGGTATTATCCTCCTGACAAAAACCTAAATTATAATGAATGATTAATTTATTAAGTACCAGATACATTTCTATCTACTAGGGATATAAAATAGTACACAAAACAAACACAATACTTGCCCTTTTAGAGTTCACAAGAGATCTATTTAATCAACCACAAAGTTAGTAATGGAAAAATGTCCGTATTACTCTGGACATTAATTTCTGATATTAAATTAAAAGTAAGGTTAGTTAAATAAATAGGAAGAAATCTGAATTAAAGACAGATTATTTTTGAAAAAATTGCATCATTTTGACACAAACTTTCAAGTAGATATGTAATTGAAGAGTTATGAACACAAGCTTGGGAATGAACTATCAGGTTCTAGCACTAGTTGGCTATTTTAACTTTGGACACGTTACTTCTCTTCACCTCATTTTTTAATCTATAAAACTGAGGTAATAATACCCTACCCTCATAGGGAGGTTCTGAGAATTAAATAGATTAACACATGTCTATAAATAATACCCAGTGAATGGTAAACTATTATTCACTATTACTAAATGTCTGAAAAACAAAATAGTAAGTTCTAATATTTTTCCCCTATTAAAAAGTTTCAAATGACTATGGCGCAGCTGTGAAGTTGCTGCTAGATTAGAATCTCAGCTAGTCTACTTCTGACCCAGCTTCCTGCAAATGCACCAGTATGTGAGGGACCCAGATTGTGTTCTGGGTTCCTGGTTTCAGCCTGGCCTGCCCTGGTTGTTGAGAGTAATTAGGGAGTGAATTAGGGAATTGAATGTGCTCTTCAAATAAAAAAAAATTAAACAATGAAAATGTAATAACTAAATTCACTGAAGAGTTCATAATCTGGTTCTATTTTTCTGAAGACACGACACTCTTACATAGTCAAGTTTAACAGTAAACATATTCACATTTAAATGACAACATGTGACTTAAAAACTAGTTAACAATAGTTAATGAGATCTTAAGAGAAAAGGCAGGGTAAATAAATGTTTTGCTTATAATCTTTGAAGAAAGATCTCTTTTCCTCTGAAATAAAATTTATATATAAACTTCAGATTCCCAACTAGGAATTCTCAACTTTGGTTGAAACTAAGGTCTTTTAGAGGTGGGAAGTAAAGTGCTCCTTGAGGAGACTTTTACAATAAGTGACATAAATAATTACATGCATTGGCTTTTAAAGATTCACTGATTATCACAACTGACTTTATAGGACATTCAATCTTAAATTACACCAAATAAGATTATTAGAATACATACAAACACACACACACATTTTATAGGCAGAGAGAAGAGAGACAGAGCTCCCACCCACTGGTTCATTCTCCAAATGCCTGCAACAAATTGTGCATCAGGAACTCAATCCTGGTCTTCCACCTACGTAGCAAGGATCCAACTACTTGAGCCATCACCTTGTTTCCTGGGGTGTGCATTATTATCAGGAAGCTACAATCAGGAACAGAACTAGGTCTCAAACCCAGGCATTTTGATATGGGATGCAGGAATCCCAGTCAGCATCTTAACTGCTAGGCCAACTGCTTTCCCTGGTAATTTTTTTTTTAAAGGAAAACCCAAAAAGAACTTATGTTATTTACTGGATAAGGAGGACAGAAAGTGCCAAGGAAGAAAAATATTTCAATATACGTATACATTGGACAGTAAGATTAAAAGTGTTTGCTACTAACTGAAATCACACAGTCAGCCACTGGTTTCTTCAAAGCATTTTCTGAAGTCTCTTTAAGCTTGGCCAACAGCATTCCAGTAACTTGTTCAATTGCAAATGGTCTCTCTTCTTCTAGGTACCGCACCTAAAACCAGAAGTTTGATATTATTTAAAGAGCCATTTATTCATCCAACAAATATTTAGTGAGCATCTACTCTATAAATAAAATACAGTAACAAAGCAGTCATTGTTCAAAGAAGTTTTCTTTTAAAAAGTAATTCTTTTAAAAAGTAATTCTAGACTCAGCACTTCATAAAAAACAGGGACATCCTCTCACATTTCTGAGGTTCCAGTATCTTACACATAGTATTAAAAGAAGCAAATTATTTTCAGAAGTCTATCAACTCACATCTCTATTCCCAAAAAAGCATTTTTCGTCATTCATTTTCCAAGTGTGATACAGCTAATGATGAAGGAGAGAAAGATCACATACACAAGAACTCTCCCTGGGTTTAAAATGAAAACTTTAATCACACAGTTCAGGGGAAAGGAAATAAGAACACCAGAAAAAAAAAATCCTTGCTTTAAAAAATGAAATTTAATATATATATTATATTCCAAGGATTCTGGAGACAACAATGATAAAAGAGATACACATGAAATTAAAAATTATTTTTAAGACCAAATTGTTTATTTATATATAGGTTTAAGACTAGCTTCCATTTAGGCACATAAAATGAAACTTGACAGAGCCTCTTAACCAAGGAATACTGAGGGACTTCTGCTTTATTCAAATAATTAAAATAAAAAAATGTATAAGCAATACAAAGGTATCCTAGAGCCCACATAACTATATTTAATTCACTGAAGAAAAGGCTATGTTCTTTTACTTCTGGATCCCCAGTAGAATAAATAAAATAATTGTATTCTATAATACTAGCCTTTGGAAGAATTTTGAACTCTCTCAAGCAGCAAAATCTTTTTATGCATATGAATATGTATAAATATGTATACAAAATGATTTAAGATTTACTTTGAATCAGGCCTAAAATCAATATCCATTGGTTTCCAGATTGATTTATAAGTAAGTTAAAAATACTATGTCAAATTACTGCCTTTTTGCCAAGGAGCAGGGAGAAATCAAGTATATTGAGAAAAAAGAAAATGAATCAAATATCATTCTTTGTTCGACTATGAATGGCACAATAAAATGCTTCATTTTGTATAAGAATATTCAGAAAGTTAGAAGAAATAAACAAAGTATATTCAAACAAATCCACAAAAATAGATAAAATACTCGAGTTCAATTCTGAAAATTCTCAGCCTTCAAAAGATGAACACAGTTCAACACAGGACTGACCAACATTTTCATAGTCTTTTCAAGAAGCTTACAGATGCTCACTATAAGTGCATAAAATTTGAATCATTCAAAAAATTAGGGTTTGGATTTCTTTAAAAACATTCTGTTTTTCTCAGTCTATTCACAAAGCATGATCTATTATCACTTAAAAATAAAAGCAAAAGGGGCCCAGTGTTGTGGCGCAGTGGGTTAACACCCTGGTCTGAAGTGCTGGCATCCCATATGGCCACCAGTTCGAGACCCGGCTGTTCCACTTCCTATCTAGCTCTCTGCTATGGCCTATAAAAGCAGTAGAAGATGGCCCACGTCCTTGGGCCCATGCACCCACATGGGAACCCCGGAGAAGGCTCCTGGCTCCGGATCAGTGCAGCTCCGGCCGTTGTGGCCAATTGGGGAGTGAACCATCGGATGGAAGACCCCCCCCCCCCAACTCTGGCTTTCAAATAAATAAATCTTTAAAAAAAAACTCTTTAAAAAAATAAAAGCAAAAAAATTTAAATAGATTAAAGTCTAGAGTAGAATAAAACTGTTGCAGATTATCATCAATGGGGCTTATTATATATAAGGGCACTTCAAAATGTTCAAGTTGAGGGGCCAGTGCCGTGGCATAGTAGGTTAATCCTTTGCCTGCGGCGCCTGGCATCCCATATGGGCACTGGTTCTAGTCCCAGCTACCGCTTTTCCAGTCCAGCTCTCTGCTATGGCCTGGGAAAGCAGTAGAAGATGGCCCAAGCCCTTGGGCCCCTGCATCCACATGGGAGACCAGGAAGAGGCTCTTGGCTCCTGGCTTCGGATCAGCACAGCTCCGGCCATTGTGGCCATTTGGGGAGTGAACCAACAGAAGGACAACCTTTCTCTCTGTCTCTTCCTCTCACTGTCTGTAACTCTACCTTTCAAATAAATAAACAAAATCTTTAAAAAAAAATATTCAGGTTGATTTGGGTGCAAAATATTTCTGAAGTCCATATTCTGTTTCTTTAAATCAATTTTCCATGAACTTCTTCAGGTGGTATCTAAAGGATATCAGAATAGTATTTTTTATCTCAGCTGTTGCCATCATAACCGATCCAACTTCCCCATTTAGGAATCCGTGCTTGACCTACAAACTTCCCCTAAAATATGGCTTCACATTTTGTCTACCTGTCTTTAACTTCTCATAGTGTCTTCCCTGAAATATTTTAGTAGTCTTCTTTATTTTATTTTTTTTGACAGGCAGAGTGGACAGTGAGAGGGAGAGAGAGACAGAGAGAAAGGTCTTCCTTTTGCCATTTGTCCACCCTCCAATGGCCACCGCGGCCGGCACGCTGTGGCCAGCGCACCGCACTGAACCAGGTACTTCTCCTGGTCTCCCATGGGGTACAGGGCCCAAGCACTTGGGCCATCCTCCACTGCACTCCCTGGCCACAGCAGAGAGCTGGCCTGGAAGAGGGGCAACCCGGACAGAATCCGGCACCCCGACCGGGACTAGAACCTGGGGTGCCGGCGCCGCAAGGCGGAGGATTAGCCTAGTGAGCCGCAGAGCCGGCCAGTAGTATTCTTTTACAACATTTCATCATCTACCTCATCTAAAAATGGAAATACATGCATACCCATAATACACGTATTAAAGTAATTAAAATATTTAAATTACATAGCATAAAGGTCATACTTCTGGACTATGTTAAGTAGTTTTTCATATATTTACATGTGTGCTAATCACCACTATCTAAGTGTAGAACAATCTCTCACCCCAAAAGAAGCCTTGTTCTCACTGATAGTCACTTCTTCCCATTTCCCCTTTCCCTTAACTCTTAGCAACCACTAGTCTACTTTCTGTTTCTACAGATTTGCCTATTCTGGACACTCCACTTAGCAAATTTCCAAGGTTCACAGATGTTCACATGCTATATAGTACAGCATCAGTACTTCATTTCTTTTTTTCTTTCTTTTTTATTTTTTTGACAAGCAGAGTTAGACAGAGAGAGAGACAGAGAGAAAGGTCTTCCTTTTCCATTGGTTCACCCCCCAAATGGCCGCTACGGCTGGCATGCTGCAGCCGGCGCACTGCACCGTTCCGAAGCCAGGAGCCAGGTGCTTCCTCCTGGTCTCCCATGCGGGGGCAGGGCCCAAGGACTTGGGCCATCCTCCACTGCCTTCCCGGGCCACAGCAAAGAGCTGGACTGCAAGAGGAGCAACTGGGACTAGAACCCGGCGCCCAAATGGGGTATGGGAGGATATGCATATGGGAGGCATAATGAAATGAAGGCGCCAGCCTTCATTTCTTCTTATGGCCAAATAATATTCCATTGTATAGTTGCAGATTCATTCATCAGTTGATGAACATTTGGCCTGTTTCTACTTTCTGGGTGTCCTGAATAATGCTGTCAGGAACATTTAATGTACAAGTTTTTTGCGGGGACATGTTTCAACTCCAGTATACATTTAAGAGTGGAACTGTTAATTCATATTGTAACTATGTGTTTTGAGATTTTTTTTCTATCCACAACTTACTATCTTAGGATGCAGAATTAAAAATCCATTATCTATCTCTCCTAGGAAGAAAATCTGCTTTAATACTTTTAATAGTTACAAGAGTCTTCTAAATTAGAAAAAATCCATTAAAGCAAAGTAACATACTTTTTGGGTCACTTATAAATCAGATATGCCTTTGCCTTTACCCATTAAAAACTGTTCATCTATTATTACAGTTATCCAAATAATAATTTTTCTCTTTGACAAAAAAAATATTACTTGAAGTAAGCATTTAACCTAGTGATGAAGATACCCACATCCCACACTGGAGTGCCTGGGTTTGATTACTGCCTCTGGCTCCTCACTCCCACTTCCCGCAAATGAAGACCCTGGAAGGCAGTGGTAATTGGGTTTCTACCATTCACATGGTTCTGGCCCTAGTCTAGCCTAAGCTGTGGTGGTGGGAATTTGGGGAGTGAAACAGTGGTTGGGATTATTATTTGAATAATAATAACAACAGTGGTTGAGAGTATTATTTGTATTTAAAATATTATCTAAATTGTAATTTTTTGCATAATACTACATTATAAAAAATGCCTGTCACTTTGGTGTATATCTACTATATCCACAGGAAAATGATCAACTATAAAATACCAATAGCAATATTATCATATGTGAGTTAATCTTCAGATTCAGATGTTTCTACTCTGGGACTGTAAAGCTTACCTTAACTCCTGCACTTCCATTAGGCATTTTCTGCAACTCATAGGGAAGCCTGATCCTTTCAGTCTGCACAATGGGATCATCAAATGATCGTCCATGAAGCTTTTTGAAGCCATGAATTGTATTTCTTACATTTGTGACTATCTGTTGGCAGTAAACAAGTATAATTTTCAATTACTTAATGAATGCAAAATAAACTACTGTCATTCAACTTGAGAACCATCAAGTCCCTTTATTGTACATAAGCAATTTCAGAATTACACACAAGCATTCATTTTGCTGGTCTCCAACTGATAGTAAAGTTATACAATTTGTACAATTAAAATGTATGTATCATAAGTGCTACTACCCCCAACCGAAATTCTCCTCCTATATTGGGAATTAATGCTTCAAAGGAGAATGAGCTAAATTTTAAAACTCTTCAGGTAAAATATCAAAACCTACCTACAATTTATCTGTCTGGTTTCCCTCAACACTTGTACTCTAGTGAATTATTATTTTTTATTTCTCTTATATCTTTACATTTTTATTTCTGTGTTTCTCATCCTCTCAACATCTAATCCTTTGTGAAATTTCTCATATACTAAGTATGTTGCTTCCATTGCTGAGAACTGCTTCTAGACTAGTAATTTAAAACACATGCTACATCATTCCATGTAGCATGATGTTCAGTGAAAGTGTCTTAAGTAGCTTAAGTTTTGGCAAAATTATTTCTTCAACTAGAACATTCAGTTTACCCTATTGAATATCGCTGTGATGTAACTGCTACTCTCTTATGGACTTTTAAAGCCAAATTTATCTTTAATTATGAAATGAAAACTACAAGAATGATGAATTACACATAAATCTCTTCTATACTTCATGAGAAATGATTTTGTAAGCTGCTTTCTTTAGAAACTATGATACTCTTAGAAAATCAGCCAGAATATGATATAAACAAGTGAAGGGGTTATTTTAGCACAAACTCAATATTTTTATGTACAATATAAAACTAGAAGAGAACACATTCATACATGGGGCAATTATAAAAGACAGCCTTAATACAAATCATAAGTGAAAGAAGATAACCCAGGTATATATAAGTTTTTGGTACTGGGAAGTAAGTCCAAGGAAAATCAATCTGTATCACAAGAAGTTAAAAGTCAATGTTCTACTCACAGCCATTTCAAATCCCTAGATATGTAAATCACTTAAACAGATTCCACATAAGTTGCTATAGCCACATTAGGTTATTTTGGAAATTAGTTCCTCCATTTTCCCCTCCCTTTTCTACCAAGACATTGCTTATCACTGAAGTGTATGTTTCTAGATAGAATATCACTCATAGGAAGTTACCATACAGGGAAAATCTGATGTTGCATTAGAGCACACCCTTCCTTTACAATTAAAATGTTTTTAAGACTTAAAATTCAAGGAATATTTTACATTCCACAGCAAAGTATATCTGAAAAGCTACAAAGATGTTACATTTTTCTTCACTTTTTAAAAAATTCTTATCTATGTAACACGGAAACTTAGTTATCAAGATACAGTTAATTCTTCCCATAAGTCAAAATACAACATTAACAATTTACCTGGCTCTTAGCTGCATTCCCAATGGCTCGAGTTCTTGATCCCAAAGATATACAGGCCCTAAACAGAACAAAAAAAAAAGTTTGCTCCCATGATTTTTATCTAAAGATTTTATTATTTATTTGAAAGGCAGAGTTACAAAGAGAGAAGGTCACACACACACACACACACACACACACACACACAGAAAGGCAGACAGAGAGAATCTTCCATCTCATCTGCTGGTTCACTCCTCAGATGGCCGCAATGGCCAGGGCTGGACCAGGCTGAAGCTAGGAGCTTCATCTAGGTCTTCCACATGCGTGGCAGGGACCCAAGCACTTAGGCCATTTTCCTCTGCTTTCCCAGACTCATTATCAGGGAGCTGGATCAGAAGTGGAGCAGTTGAGGCCGGCGCCGCGGCTCACTAGGCTAATCCTCCGCCTTGCAGCGCTGGCACACCAGGTTCTAGTCCCGGTCAGGGCGCCAGATTCTGTCCGGGTTGCCCCTCTTCCAGGCCAGCTCTCTGCTGTGGCCAGGGAGTGCAGTGGAGGATGGCCCAGGTGCTTGGGCCCTGCACCCCATGGGAGACCAGGAGAAGCACCTGGCTCCTGCCTTCGGATCAGCGCGGTGCGCTGGCCACAGCGCGCTTGCCGCGGCAGCCATTGGAGGGTGAACCAACGGCAAAGGAAGACCTCTCTCTCACTGTCCACTCTGCCTGTCAAAATAAAAAATAAAAAAATAATAAAAAAAAGAAAAAAAAAGAAGTGGAGCAGTTGAGATATGAACCAGCACCCATATGGGATGTCAGCCCTGCAGACAGCAGCTTAACCCACTGTGCCATAGCACAGGACTCTATACTTCTATATTAATGTATTATGACCCTACTTTTCCTTATAAAAATGTAAAATAATACAGTCATATATTATTTTAAAATAGGTTATGTAAATCAACATTTCACATATTTATAAGACATTTTTGTCGCTCCCCCTCTTCGTGGAGGAGCGACACTAAACCCTGCCTAGGCTTCATATCCGAGTCACGGCACCATTATGTCGCTCCCCGTCTTCATGGGGGAACGACACAGGACCCTGCGCTGTTCTTTTGTCTGCTCGGCCCTCCCCGGGTTTGCTGCTGGTTCTTCCCGGGTTGGCTACTATCCCTTCCACCTCCGTGGAAGGGCAGTTCCCCCTGGCCACATTCCCCACTTCTGCAGGGGAGCGGCACACCGCCGGCCGGTTCTCTCGGGGGCTGCACAGGTGTTCCCTCAGATGTTCCCCATAGATGTTCCCTGTGCATGCCGTCTCTCTCCTCCTTTATAGTCCTCCTCCGTCAATCCTAACTCGGCTGCCCACACGCCGAGTACGCTGCTCTCCAATCAGGAGCAAGTCCTACAGTTTATTGGCTGAACTGGAGGCAGCTGTGTAGAAGCCTCTTTCTTCTCTCCCAGCGCCATATTGTGGGAGAGCAGATGCATAGAATAAGTCTTAATTCCAGTAACTTAGTCTAGTCCGAATTGCTCCCCACAATTTTCATTTTATTTGGTGGGGAGGGAGAAAGAGAATGAGATAACTTCCATCCACTGTGTCATTCCCCTAATACACTCAACAGCCAGGGCTGGGCCAAGTTGATGCCAGGAGCTGGAACTGAATTAGGATCTTCCATGTGGGTGGCAGGGACCCAATTACTTGAACCATTATTTTTCTGCCTCCTAGTGTGCACATTAGCAAAAGTTAGAATGGAAGCAGAATATCTGGCACTTGAACCAGACATTCTCATATGGATGCAAGAACCCTGAGTGATGTCTTAGCCCTTGTGCCAAATGCCCTCACTTTCATATATTTTTAAACTTTGCTTAATAGTGGAATGATTGTCAGAATAAATGTCAGAATTTTTTAGATGTCCTAATAGCTGGCAATACTATGCTGGTACTCAAAAATGTTTTTCAAATTCCGCTGAGCTGTGACCTACCTTAAAGAAACAACTATATTCAGTAAGGCAGTGCTGCTTTGATTCAAACCCCTGCTCTGCTTATTTAATGGTAGGGAAATTTGTTGAAACTGTGAAAATGGCATAATCATTATTTGTTCTCAGGTTCCTATTTGGAAGCAATGTTAATACCTTCTTGCAGGGCTTGTGAGGATTAAGTGTGAATCTGAGTACCTGCTTTGCATAATATCTGGCACATAATAAACATAATGTGATTGCTATTTTATCTAAAGTATGGATAATATTTTTATCAAAATACTATGTCATGTTATGATTCAAGAGAATGTGTCCCCGATTTCAGTTATAAATAGAGGAAACAATCCAAACATTTATAGGCATGGTGCATATACAGTCACAGTTCTTGTTCTTGGAGAATTTATCATCTGTTGAAAAGAACCAATATATAGACTATACAGAATTATAAATGATATTAGCAAAGATTAGAATAATCGCTTTTAAATAATAGAACTTGAAAAAAAAAAGGGGGTAAAATTTCACATTATCTGACTCATGGGAAAGGACATTCCTGGTATACAGGTACTGTTACAGTTTCAGTGTGATTTGAACTGAAAGTTCAAGTTCTAGAAGTTTGGTCCCCAGTGCAGATATTGAAGTGGTGGAACTTTGAAAAGGTGGGCCCTTAAAGGAGATGAACAGGTCATGTGGACACCACCTGCAAAAAGAATTAATGTCCTCAACAGTATGTTAGATCTCCTGTGACTGGATTAGTTCTCCAAGAAGGAAGACTGTCATAAGGGGAGGCCACCCCACAGGCCGTCTGTGTGCAGTTGATTCCCTTTTCACTTCTCCACCAGCCAGGTGATCTTCAACAGGATCCTAGTACCTCGTTGTTAATACTACTCATCCACCAGAATTGTGAGCCAAATAAACCTCCCTGTAAGTTACCTAACCTCAGATATTTGCCCCAGCAGCACAAAATGGGCTAAGAGAGGTATATTCTCAACATGACAGAGTCATCTCCTGAAGACTTCAGATCATGAACCTCCCCTGTAAAAGAACCCTTCAATGGTGCTCTGTCCCACAACGTAAAAGTTTAAAGTACCCCCAAGAGCCAATAAAGCCCTTCACAGTCTGGATGACGCTTGCTATTCAACACAGTCCCACTAAATTCCCTGCTATTGCCAATATTACGTCAAGTATGCTTCTGCCTTAGGGCCTTTGTACATGCTATTTTATCTTTCTGAACACTTCTACATACTTCCTTATGGCTTGCGCTCATTTCTTTCAGGTCTCTGCTCAATTGTCAGTTTGGAAGAGACATCTCTCCTGATGATCCTTTGTGAGCACACAAATATCATTTGCCTAATTTCATTTTTCTCCTCAGTATGGATCACCATCTGACTAATTTTTTCACTGAATTTATCTCCTTGCCAGAACCACATGAGGTTAATATACACCCACTGCCTTCTTAATTTACACTATCTAATATGGTAGCCACCAGCTACATCTGGCCAGCAAAATTTAAATTAACTAAAATAAAATATTCAGTTCTGGGACAGCGCTGTGGCGCAGCAGGTTAACGCCCTGGCCTGCAGCGCCGGCATCCCATATGGGTGCCGGTTCTGGTCCCAGTTGCTCCTCTTCCAAAACAGCTCTCTGCTATGGCCTGGGATAGCAGAAGATGGTCCAAGTCCTTGGGTCCCTGCACCCACATGGGAGACCCGGAAGAAGCTCCTGACTCCTGGCTTCGGATCAGTACAGCTCCTGCCGTTGCGGCCATCCAGGGAGTGAACCAGTGGATGGCAGACCTCTCTCTTTCTACCTTTCTCTGTAACTCTTTCAAATAAATAAAATAAATCTTCAAAAAAAAAATTCAGTTCCCCAGGACTAGTTATGCTTCAGGTGCTCAAAAGCCACATATATCTTGAGGATTTACAGAGAACAAAATATACATAGAACAGATACACAGAACAGAAAGTTCTTCTGGAAAGCACTGACCTAGATCACTGCCTGGTACATAAAAGGTATTTAATGAATAGGATGGCTTCTAAGGATAGCACTTATTTGGAGACTAGGAATAATACAACCTGGCTAGTTTCACATGACAGTCTGTTAATACCCAGGCCAGACCTTATAGGATCTCATAGTCCAGATTATGTTTGATATTTATTCAGTAGGTAACAGGACTTCATTAACTATTTTTAAATAATGGAGAGGATACCATATGTTAATATGTAATACAAACTGGAAAAGTAATATCCAACAGCAGTGTTTATTAGGGGCTGAACAAATCACTGTTATGTTCAAAATTAATGGATTTTCATGGAAGGCAAACAGGTAAAAAGTTCATTCAAAAAAAGTTCATTCAGCAGATTTAACAGATGTTTGTTGAGTAATTGCTATGTCTGAAACTCTGTTAAGTTGCTACAGATAGAATGGTGAGGGGCAGAAGAAAGATGTGGTTTTGACACTCTTGGATCTTACAATGTTATATAAATACACAAATCAAAGTAAACTAGGTGCTACAACAGAACCAACAAAAGATGCTACCTCTTTGAGAGGCAGACTTACAGATAGAGACGGAGAGAGAGATCGTCCATCCACTGCTTCACTCCCCAGATGGCTGCAATGGCTGGAGCTGGGCGATCCGAAGCCAGGAGCCTGGAGCTTCTTCCAGGTCTCCCACGTGGGTACAGGGGCCCAAGGACTTGGGGCCATCCTCCACTGCTTTCTCAGGCCATAGCAGAGTGCTGGATCGTTAGGGGAGCAACTGGGACTCAACCAGAGCCCATATGGGATGCTGGCACTGGAGGTGGCAGCTTTACCTGCTATGCCACAGCACCCGCCCCTCCAGATTTCCTTCAAAAAGATTTTAGAATCTTTTTGAATCATTAAGGTAAAAAATACTTGCCAAGCATTTTCAGAAAAAAAATTAGATACCTATTCTCTCAAAATTTTTACTCAATCTAGTAACATCAAGGGGACACCTTGTAACACAGATTGGGCTGATCTAAAAATTCTTACAGAAAGAGATAACAGTTTATACATACATACATATATATGTATTACAGCATAATCCATTTATATTTTACTTTTTAAATGCACTACTTCAACTACTATTTGGAAATTCC